TGGCCACATGTGAAGGGTATGGCAATGCCCTCCCCAACAGCATAGACCATGAGTCGAGGTGAAGATTGTGGAAAAAACCTAGACCATGCAGCTCCTCCGGTTCCCAACTACCTCTGCGATTGCCACCTCCCCCTCCCTCCCCTCTCCCCCAACACTGTCTACCCTGTGTCAATATGATAGTTGGGCAAACTCACCATGACCTCCCAGTCGGTGAAAAGGTCCGGGATTGGGCGATAAAGTATGGTCATCAGCGACAGCAATTCAGGCCAAGATACACGCAAGACAGTGCACGATTCATGACTGCGTTGGTTCCCCGTCTGTGCCTGACGAGGCAAAAGTTGGTTGCCTCTCAGGTACCGACATGACGCTTTCGTTCCCCCACATCCTGGTCACTTGAGTGACAGCACATGTACATCGTATGAGTTTTTATGTATTCCAATCCGCGAACAGGCAGTTACTTAGGTAACTAATGCGGGCCTAATTGATAGGACACAACGGAGGTGTCCACATTGCACCGTCTAAGCGCCCTTCATGATCCATTTGTCGTTTTCTTTGTGTTTTTTTTGTCTCGTTTTCATTTTGTTTTCTATCTACGTCCTTTCCCTTCTAACACCACTTACATGTTTGGTGGTCTCTCTCCGTCGGGCTTCGAGCCATTTAACCAACCAACGTCGGGGCATCAGGGATTGCATCGGTTGACAAAATGGGGTTTTGTAAATATTGCATTGGTCAGCTTGAAAGCTATAGGAACAGAGCAGCACAAAATAGCTGCTGTATTATGCAAGCATGTTATTGATTACATTGTTGTGTGGCGCGGAAAGAGTGTACATTGTAACCGAGAAAACGGAGCCGAGCAAGGTGAAGCAGCAACATGAGAAAGCTAACCAGCTCGTAAAACCGCACGTCTAGTATCGTGAGGTTACGAGGTTTCAAAAAGAGACTGCTCTAGCGAGAGGCCGCGAGTGATTGGGGGTTTTATTTTATCCGCTCGGAAAGGAATATGAGACACTTGATAATACATAAAGTTCACGAAAAAGAAATAAGACGGCGAGACGATAGTACTATTGTCGGGTAAATGCCAGGCAATGAACTCCGTCTGAAAGGAAAGAAGCGAGAAACAGTGAAGATGGGACGATTGATACGAGTTCGGCTGCAACCTCGCCTGTTTCTGTTTTTAGAATAACCCGCCGGGAGCCAATACTTTAACCTTGTCCTCGACCAGGTGGCAGCAATTCTACTGTTCCTTTTATTGGTTTCTTAGAAGGTGACTGTTATTCATTTTGCTCCTACTTCCTATCCTGGGCCTTGTCTATATAAAACAAGCTGGAAATTGTGGGGACAGGCATATAAGATGAAGCAAACATAAAATAAATATGGTGATGGCGAGAACAAACGCAGCATCAAGGTACTAGGCGTGATATCTCTACCGGACGTCTGCAGTCCCCCAGTTGTCTCAAGCAAGCGAAATAAGTATGACAAGAAAGCCACCTGGGTGAATTGACATTGGAGATACCCTCCATTTGTCGTTGACACTTTTATTTTATTATCTATTCCATTCACGGGTCGAAAAGTCCACTATACGACCGCTTGGATGCTTCCCGCTGCCGGATGTTACTGTAGCAGTCGCAATGTCTTGAGTAGACGAATCACGGCGCAAAGAATGGCCAAGAAAATGAACACAAACGCAGGCGACCAGTAGGGACAGTGAGCGAGGGATTTACAACTCCATCACGGGCCGTCTGCGGGGAGGAAATGGACGATGCAGGCGATGTCCGCGAGGTGTCATAAAGTTAAAATAAGAAAGTTGCCGTGGAAATGCCGGATTTTAGCCTTTCTTTGCCGGCATCCTCCGTTGACATGCACAGCTTGACAAACATGATAGGGCCTGTTTCTATTTTATGCAATTTTCGGAACGTCTCTTGTGTGGTTTTCTTTTTTGCTTTCGTTTGTTCTGTTTTGTATACTCGGGTCAACGGAAAGCCTTTTCATTCGACCTGGACGGATGACGAAAAAATACGCACGTGTAGCATTGAAGTGCTTGCATGCTTCTTCTGTTGAGCCTGTTTATGCTTCCCCTGAAATAATCAAAGAGAGAAATCGAGCCAGGCTTTGCGACAACTTGCTTTTATTTGGTAGTTAATGGGCATACAGTGAGAGTGACTAGGAATTTATAGAACACAGCTGTGTCCATTGTAGTAAGGCTCCAAGACAAGTGAGCTTTTGAATACATGTGAACCGCAAAAAAGAAGCCAAAAATCATTTGATTCTTGGTGACACCGTTTGTCCACATAAAATGCTGTGATATATGGACAGAGGCACAGGATATCCATACGGCGGTCCGAGAAGTTCTTTATATTATTTGTTTACATCTGAGCCGTTTTCGATGGCATCACCATGCTCACCGATCCTAGTTCTGATCGCTGCTCGTTTCAATCTGCCAGCACATGTAGTCGTCGGTCAAAACAAGGAGCAGGGTTGTCAGTTCGCGGTTGTGCCCTCTATTTTGCATTCATGTTCTTTGTGTTTGCTGTCGTGCTTGGAGAGGACAAATCGACCTCGTATCGTTCTGAGATACGACCTCGCCGAGGTACCGTTCCCGCAAGGCAAACATTTTGTCTTCTCCACCTACGTACACCGAAGCAAAACATAAAGCTACCACAGCACATGTGGTGTACCAACGGCGTTGGCTTCAAAACAAAGGGTGGGGGCCACCTTTATTTTCTTGCTCTTGTGCGGGTATATCAGACCAACGTCTCTGCCAGTCCGGAAGCCATCACGAAATAGTTGTTTGTAGCTAACCGCTCCCGTTTCCGTCTCCGTCTGCGTCTCCGTTTCTGCAATGCAAATCACTTGTCATTCCGCCCGAACTGCGTCGAGGCGAGTTGCTCCTATTTAGTCTATCGTATCTCACATTCCACCATGAAGCGGTGCTCTCGGCATATACTTTACTCCACGTGGCTTGCATAGCGCAAACTCTCCTTTCCGAAGCTCACCATGTGCGCCACTCTACTTGACCACCCTTTCTGGGAAGAAAGAATGAAAAAAAAAAAAAAAACTCTCCACTACGACCTTAAAGACCAAGACAAACTGTGGATGCTGTACTACTCGGGCTCAGCTCCCCTCACGTTACGATATACGGCGCGCAATCCGCCGATTGCTGAGGGAGATACAAGTTAGCCCACGGGAGCACTGCCGGAATCTGTGCCGCGTCAGTCAGAACGTCCAAAAGAGCCATACAATATACAATACGACATGGTCCGCTTCATCATTCGTACAAGGCTGGGGTGGACACACGTTTTGATTGTACATCTTGCCTCGGGGGACGGAAGCCTTTGTTTTATATTAACTCGACTCTGTCTCTCGTATTTTTTATTTTTTATTTTTTATTTTTTATTTTTTTCGTACAGTTCAGTCCGTTTGTGGGGATTTGTTTGCACAGATCCTTTCCCAGACCAGAGTGCGTATCCCACTTGCGACCAACGAGCTGGGTTGTTCGAGGAGCTCATTCAACACCCAGTACGAAAGAAGCAGAGGTGCATCAACCTTGTCTGCTTGTGTAACCACAGCATCGAGCCACTGGAGACACACATCCCACACACGCAACGATCCTTTCTCGGCCACCCCTTCTATCCCCGTCTCGCCTAGGTTTTGTTGCGTTGTCCCTACGTGTGTACGTTCGCTGCCCTCATCTTTGTCCCCCAACCCATGCCCACTGACCCACTTGTGCAAACGCTCTTCATTTTTCAACGCATGTCTTGAACAGGGCGCACCGTGCTCAGTCTGTCATGCTACCGTATGGTCCTCTTGACTCCTCGTCCTGCCGTACATCCTGCTTCACCATTCTCTGATACATCTTACCTCCCGGATAGCCGCTATGTCGTGCATCTGCCAGGAAGCGGGCTTTGCCTTTCATGGCGGCTTTCTTTCTTTTTGCTCCCTTATTTTTCTTTTCTTTTCTTTTCCTTATTAATTTCTTAACTTTCTTTGCACTCTTTGTATCCCTAGGACTGTACACCAATGGACTGAAGTCACGAACCCAGCAACTCTGCAAGTATCGGGAAGACGTTTGCACGGCTTCGCACTCGAACAAATCCATTGTCGTCCCTTGTTGGCAGACCTCTTTTCGTCCGTCGCGGCTTTGTCCTCTGCGTTCTCACTGACTTCACCTCATTTTTGTGCAGCCACCCGGACCACGTCACCTCATCCCGTTCCCCGATCCCGTACAACATTGACCCTCTGGAACAAACGGAGAACCCTGTTCGTGCGTCACTCGATCTTTTCCTAGTACGTTTGGCCGTAGGACAGAATGTGGGACGGTTGGCCTGGCTTTCCGTTCTTGCGTTGTCAGCGTTTGAGCTAATAATAAGAGAAAAAGAACTATTTCTATTCAGAATCTTGATTCAATGGGAACGAAGCGAAGCCTGGGTTTGTTTTAACTTCTTTTATTGCAACAAAAATTCTGATCAAGAAAACAGTACTGAAAGATTAGACTTTTATTTTCACTTTACTTGCTTTCGATGAAACAGTTACAAAAGCCACTACGACCGCAATATTGCACAGATTTGTAAAATGTATAAAGTATCTATACAAGATTAAAAACTCACAATTCCACCCATTTTGTCGGCATGTCGTGAAAATATACAAAAGTACGCTGCCACTCGCAAGGCTGAGAATGGCAATTGTCTTGGGGGTGTGTGCTGGGTTGTTCCTTCCCAGCCAATCAATTGAGCCGGACTGCCTCCCCAGTTTTTATTCTGGTGCCTTCCACTTGCCCCTGACTACTCCATCCATAGTGGCGGTAGCTGCACATCGCCATCTAGCGGCTCTACAGAGGCAGCTTTTTAACCTCAAGCTTCGCCATATTACAAACCAACACTTTTCAAGTATCACGGCGCAACGTTTCAAGGCAGCCCATTGTCGTTGCACCTGTCACAGCCTGTCGATTTGACCTCTTCCACCACGTCCACCACATACACCCTACTCCACCAATACTCGTCAACATGGCCGACGTCCCGATGCTCGTCATCTCCGACACGGCATCGTCGGAGCGCCGCATCACGCCCAGCTGGACCATTTCGACGCTCAAGGCGAAGCTCGAGCACATTACGGGCGTGCCGCCGTCGGCACAGACGCTGTTTCTGGCACCGGCTGCCGTGCCGGGCGCCACCTCGTCTGCGGGCCCTGCGCAAAGAACGCCCATTGCGGCAGCGGACGAGGATGCCACACAGCTGGCCCAGTTCGCCCTGAGCCCCTATGCCGAGCTGCACGTCGTGGACACGCGCCCGCCGGGCCAGCGGCCCAACTACACCGACACGTCGGCCGTGGAAAAGTACGTGCTGCCGGCCGAGGCCTATGCCGCCAAGGCGGACAGCGTGCTGGCGTGGAAAAAGGCCCAGAAGCTCGGTCGCTTCGACCCCGATGCGCCCGAGCACGCGCGCGCGCGCATCGCCGCCTTTGCAGCCGAGGCCGAGGCGCGCGGCATTGCCGTGGGCAAGCGCTGCCGCGTGGGCGGCGACGACACGCGGCGCGGCGTGGTGCAGTACGTGGGGGACGTGCCGGAGATTGGCGCGGCGGCGGCGGCGGCCATTGTGGCGAACCCGAGCGCAAGCGAGCAGGCCGCGCTTGGCGCCGCGGGCACGTGGGTGGGCGTGGAGCTGGACGAGCCCGTGGGCGGCAAGAACGACGGCAGCATTGGCGGAACGCGGTACTGGGGCGCGGAGCCGAAAGCGGGCGCGCCGGTTCAGAAGAAGGGGGTGTTTGTGCGGCCGGAGCGCGTAGAGGTGGGCAGCGAGTTTGGCCCGCTGGACGACCTGGACGACATGGAGGAGATTTAGACGGGACATGGGAGGAGATTGGGGTGTTGGTGGGGACGTCTACAATGTATGTGCTTCCGGCGGCGCCGGGTGTTGGTGTCTGTCTCATCACCAGGGCATCAACTTTTCATGATACCATTTCTCCTTGGCTGGAAAATCCGAGAGATTGATCGCAATGGGCGCCGTTTATGTAGAAATCGATCAAAACTACGAACATCCGGTTGGTCAACACAGTACAGTATCACTTTGTCGATGGTAGAGATGGCAAACGGGTGGACGGTCGGCGAGCAACAGTACGATCGTATCCACGTCCTGGTCCTGGCTGTCGGAGAAAAAGAAAAACAGAACGTTCATCAGGGTATATCATGGCAAATCAGACAGAACGTTGCCTGTAAACATTGATCATCAACGCTGCATGGTGTCTTGCTTACTGCGACGCTTATTGTATTGGTAGTTGTTGACAGCTCAGCGATTTTGAGTCCAGAGGCAAGGAAGTGCAAGGCTGGGGGCCAGAACAGAGTGGTCTCTGACGGCGGCGCATTATTTCGGATGTTCAGAACCTTATATGTCGATGAGGGCGTAGAGACGAGAGGGTCGAGACGTCCGATCGGCAACGACAGGATGCCATGGTAGGCGGCGATGGAACGGAAACAAGATACGAGATATGGAAGCAGTCTTGGCCGGACGTATTCTGCTCTCCTCTTCTGTTTTACACTGCTACGACGCTCTGATGGACATCACTCGACACGACCAAAGACCGGGCCTATCCGGTGCAGGGATTTGATGCGCGATGCTTCCAGAACCTGGTCGACCTCTTTTTCTGCAAATCCAGCCGTCATCGTCGCCCAACGCTGGGCATGTCAAACACGAATGTTTTATGCACGCAAAGCGGCAGTCAAAGCGTCTATTCGGTTGCTGGCTGTCAGAATGGCAAGAAGAAAAAAAGCGGCGGGAAAAAAACGAAAACACGGCACGCAGCCGGTAGAGTCGTAGGCAAAGGAGGCGTACCAGGTTGTGGGCTTCATGTTTTGCTCCCTTTTGTTGGTCCTGTCGGAGCCCTATCGCCCTTGTCGCTCCCCACCTCCCCATACTTTTTGCTGCATTTGACTGCCGTCTTGCACGAGATTCAACAGGAAATACTCCTACTATGGAGCTTGTTTCTCGCCATTGGCACATCATTTTTCAGGGCTTCTTTCTCAGATTGAGATGTACTTCTTTCTCTTTATAAGTCACCCATGCAGCCATGCTCCTCGATCTGTCTCAAGCTAGTCCCTTCAGGTATCGTCTATTCTCTCGTTTCTTCTCGAAAGCCGCTGTACGGGTTGGCTGCCCTCTCTCCTTGCTGTCTTTTCATCAATCTGCTGCCCCATTTGGGGGGCAGCAGATTGAATGGCCCACCCCCCGGAAGTTTAGCATCTGAAACCGTGCACATCACGAAGCCCACTCCTACGTTGTCTCTTCCTTTCTGCATTCTTTTCCCCCTCCCGGTGGCGATCATCTAGGCGGCTCGGGGAAAACAGGGGAAAGAAATCAGGAAAGAAAGGCACATAAATCCCCCCCGAAGCACGGAAGCCCGGCAAAACGAGGCATCCAAGCGATAAGCGGCATGACAACCTCCATTCTGTGTATTGCGAATCGAGCAACTCTGGTTTCTCATCACCTTTTACCACCTCTGGTTAATCCCTGTCTGATCAATGCAGTTTCCTAGGCGCTGTGGCACCCCACGATGACGACGACAGAGACAGTGAGAGTCGCCAATTGTCTGTTTCAAAGCCTTTTCTGGGCGAGATCACACGCCCCTGTTTTTTTCTTCTTTTCTTTATTTTCTCTCTCTCCTTTACGACGTGTTGTCGCGGAGCACATGTAGCGTAGGGTGCCTTCACCCCTGCTGTCTTTCCCATGCAACCTTTTCCATGTCCATGATGAGAGTTTCTCAGATCGGTGATACCAGGAGCAGCGCTAGTACACCTGGTTGCACACACATCCATGCAGCCTCTTGTTGTACACAAAACCACGTTGACCGTTTTGCCAAGGTAATTCCCCGGCACTCGCCCTTTGACGAGGTCGGCACGCCGTATTTCTTTGTGAGATAAAACATACTCTGAACGACGACAGACTCACGAGAATCGAATGCACTCTCCACGGATGATCCGGGCAGAACATCGCACAAGACGACACCTTGACAGTCTGACCGGACGCTCACTCGTGTACTTGCTGGACAAATAGGGACATACCTTCTCGTTCAATCACGCGGCGCGACATGACACTGTGTGAGCGCACGCGACACACCGACCAAACGATCAGCGGGTGGGCTGACGGACAGCTGGCTTGTCGTTTGCCGCAAGGACGGAGAGAAACGCACGGGAAACGAAATGCCCCGACGCTTCGTTTCTCGCTCTCGTCTGTCGATTTCGCTGCTGACGTTTGTCGCCCAACGGATGTTCCCAATGCCGGGGCGACCAGGCCAAGCAAGGCTAGGTCGGGGCGCTGCGGAATCGTGGAAGCATTGGCTGGAATCATAACCGACACACGCAGCCTGTCAAGTCCCTCGCGTGTGGGTGTGGTGGTGGAAACCAAACGGAACGGGCGGAAGCCAATGTCAGCCTTTGTTGTGGCATGCTGTGTTGGGACTATGAGGAATCCCCTAATACTACGCCTTACTTCCCAAATGCGCAGCGGGCTCGCCGCACTGGCCGCTGTTAATTTGGCCCCTCCCGCAGCCGACTACCGCGTTATCGATAAGCGAGTGCGCAGAATGCACTATAAATTGACGCCGACAGGGTCTCGTATGACGCCGTACAGTTGGGTGTGTATGGAATCTTAGGGGGCGCAGCTGGGCGCTCAGAATTGTGGCCTTTCGATTGGCCCCTTGGCGCTTTCTTGTCTTGGGAAGTGGAGCCTGGGTTGGGGGTTCCTTCCCCCAGAGTGCACATTCAACGACAAAGCGGATTTCTGGCTCATGTCACCCGCTTTAACAAAGCAGAGGCGCTAAAACAGCGCAACGTCTCAGACGGCGTGTCGCAGATCGCCCAAACCCAGACTTTCGTCTTTTCTTTTCTGCTGTCTTCTTCGCTTTCTGTTGCGTTTGCCTGTGCTTTGTAGGGCGCGTGTTGGCCGCCATCATCTGTAAAACTGTGTAAAACTGTCTCAAAGAAATCCTCTAGTCGCTAGCCGGTGGCGGCAAGACCGTTGGTTCTGGCCCCGTTGGCGTGGGTCGTTCCTGCCATTCGGTGTTCCCCGCTACGAAATCGATACGACGTACTTCGTAGAGGTGAGAAGAGATAGCGGCGCATCGATTGCACTTTCCTTGTTTGTCCCCAGTGCGGAGAAGGAGACAAAGTGCGCGCGTGTGGACGACGTCTGCTCCACAACCCCCGTCGTGCCGCTCTTTCCATTCTTTGTCCCCTCTTGGCCTCTTGCCCTTGCCCTCTTGCCCTCTTGTATATCGCCATATCGTCGACCTCCGGCCTCTTTTCTGGCCTTTTCCCTCTCCCAACGCAAGTCCACGTAATCCTGCGCATCGTTGCCGACACCCCGATCGTCCGTCCTTCTCGTGCTGCTACCGACTCTTGCAACCCCCTGGTCGGCCCTGGCACGTCCACGCTTGGCGCCCTGCCTGCGTTTGTGCTTTGCGCATACTCTGTGGAGGACGATCAAGGGACTCTACCCAAGAAACTCGGATAAGCACAAAACACCCAAGCACTCGACCACTCAACCACTCAACCACAAACTCGCAGGAGCAGCAAAGGCACCGGCCACATCTGTTCTGTCATCGGCACGGGGCTATGTGACAAACCCGGTGCCTCAACTGCGCACATCTGTCCTTCCTCTCCTTCCCTTCGCCTCATCTCCCATCTGCTGTCTCTCATTACCTCATCCAGGCCCTCTGTTCCGTCTGAAGCAATTGATTCCACCCTCGATTCCAACCCCGTCGTGTGCTCTGCCCCCTGGCTGGTGCTGTCTCCACACACTCTTCTTGTCCTCTTTCTCAGTTTTCTCAAATCACTGTACTTCTCCCGCTCCGTCCCATTATTTGCGTTTTCTTTTTTTCTTTCCTTATAAGCTCGTCAAACATCTCATCCACGTCTCATCCCGCCTCCTCCCTTCTCTTTCGTTTTATAAACATAAACATCTGCAACCTATTCTCGACATAGTTCGACATCCCGACGACGTCTTGACATCTCCCCATCTCAACATCTCGACATCTCATCAACCTCAAAAAACAGACATCTATCGTTGATACTCACCAACATCTGCTCACGCGATCGAGAGGCTCCTGGTCGTAGACCCGCTCTCTCTACTCCAGCGGCGACGTCGACCGTCGTTAGCGCGGACATCCTCAACTCCCTCTCTCAAACACACTAGCCGACATGAGAGGCACATCATCAAAAATGCCCTCCTGGAAATGGTTGCTGACAGCAACCTCGGCCACTATCTCGGCCGTGGCCGCCGACATCAACTCCTCCTCTGACGCCACCATCTTCTCCATGGACTCCGTGCCCGAATGGCAACAGTCCTCAGCCATGTCCCTTCAGGTGTCCGATCCAGACGCCGACATCCTGCCAATATCATTTACAGTTGTGCCCTTAACTGCCGTTTTGGGCCTGAACCAGTCACAGGAGACGCGAGGTGTAAGTTGACCGCAACAATGACAGACGCTACCCACTGAATTTTGCACCGGGTACGGTGCGTCACACAACTCTCATACTAACAACAAATATATCTAGTCTGTGAATATCAGAGGCAGCCTGATCGAGGCCACAGAATCCAACTATGCCAACATCTCAGGGTCGAACCAAATTGCCTACCTCAACTGTGACAACACGACAAACTCATTTATCGACGCCAACCGCATATTCAACGCCCTCATGGGCAACCTGCCTGCGGCCATCCTGCTTTACAGCCAGGTCGGCAACTGCTGCGGCCTTACCGGTTCGAACCTGGCTTACCAGACCATTTTCACCATGGTGGACATGGGAGAGGCCGCCCAGGCCCTCAACATCACGAACAACGGCGACGGTGTGGCCCAGGCTTTTATCAGCGGCAATACCACATCCACAGACGGTGGAGGTGGTGGCGGCAGCGGCAGCAACTCTGCCGTCGCCATGAGCATCCTGTATAGTATTACGGGCCTCATCACCCTGCTCTTCCTCGTCATCATTGCCACCGGCGCCGTCCGCGCCCACCGCAACCCCGAGCGCTACGGCCCGCGCAGTGGATACGGCGGACGCCCGCGCCAGAGTCGCGCCAAGGGCCTGGCTCGTGCGATGCTCGAGACTCTGCCGATAGTAAAGTTTGGCGACGATACGCCCGCTAAGCCTGATCCGAGCATCGAGCTCGAAAGCTCGCCCGAATCCGTCCACAGCCGCAACCCCAATGATGTTCAGGCCCATCACCTCTCGACGATCCCCGAAGACGAAGTGTCACAGCCTAAGACCACGGGCGTGCTCGGATCTGCGCCTGGCGTGAACGCTGGGCCCGGCTCGTCTGCCGCCGTCGGCGCTGCCGCTGGTACTGCGAACGCCGCCACTGCCTCCAAGGACGTTGGCAAGGCTGCTGAGGGCGAGTATGGCGACCACCTCGGCTGCTCCATCTGCACAGAAGATTTTGAGGTCGGCGAAGACGTCCGTGTTCTGCCTTGCAACCACAAGTATCACCCTACCTGTGTCGACCCGTGGCTGATCAACGTGTCCGGCACGTGCCCACTCTGGTACGTTACTCGGCTATATTTGTCTCCCCATTCTCAAATTAAAACGCAGCCCACGCCCAAGTGTAACCTCTGTGGTGGACACCCTGTGGCTGCTGGTCTTACTTCATTGGTACATGTATACTGACACTCTATTTTTGTTTTTGTTTTTATAGTCGCCTGGATCTCCGTCCCAACGACGGCGAGACCGATGCGTCCACTGTTGACGGCGAGGCGCCCATGCCTCCGCCCCTCAATGCTGACGCCGGTGCTGCCGAGTCTCCCAACGATGCCACGGCTACCGGCAATCGCCGCCGCGCAACGCGTATCTTTGACCTCCACCGCCTTCGCCACGCCACAGGCGAGGAGCGTATCGAGGCGCTCCGCCGCTTCCGTATAGAGAACCAGGCCGAGAACAGTGCCGATGGCAGCGCCGCGGCCACTGCCAACTCGGGAAACGGCGACGAGACCAACCGCGAGAGACTAGCGAAGCGTCTTCGCGACAAGTTCCGCATCCGGACACGGGCTCAGGAGCCGAGCTCGTCGAGCAGCAACTAATTTCATAACGGGCGACGACAAGCCACCACCACCCTTAACTCTTAATACAATCTACCCTCTCTTTACCATCTCATATACCATCTCGTTTGTACGCATATCCACCTTCATACATCCGACGACGACGCCCTATACCCATCGTTTTCTTCATTGGTGTCTGCCTTAAAGACGCCTCCTTCTCATCGTAGCTATAACTCCTTGTTTTCACCTTGTTGCCTATTGTCTCTTTATAAACGGACTTCAAAATAGTTTGGCGGTGTTCTTTTGCGGGGGGTTATTTTTGCATTCTGCGCTCTGATCTCTTGTGTTTTCTGCTGCGCCGGTTATAACCACGATATATTGGGACGGTATACTCTTATTCGGGTTTTATTTTTTTTTCTTCTAAATGATGCAAATGCTATGATGCCCTTTTTTCCTTATTTCGTGCCACTCCTATATTTACAATGTGCTCCTAAAACATGCTCGACGAATCCTTGGCGCAGAAATACTTGATCCGGGCATATTTACACCCCCTTTGTTTGCTATCCTTCTTACATACTGTAGAACCTGTGGAGATTGTTAAAAAACAGAGCGCGGGGAAGAACGGCCTGTTACAAGTTTCTGGATTACGGCGTATTGTTCTAGATGTGTTCTTTGTGCGGCGGTTATTTTGGGACGAAGCCCGGCCGCGAAGAAGAGAGACGCGGGTCGCCTTTGCAGTGGCTGCTGGAAGGTTGGCCTTGTTCCAGACAATTGTCTCGAAACGGGACGAGGCAAAAGGGCGGAGATGATGGGAACAGTTGGGTAAAATAGAGACGTTTTCGGGTACAAAACCAGTCAAGATCCATGCCACGTTGTGCAATTCCAAAAATAGTTCAAAAGTCAGGTTCATATTAGCACTGTGCTTAATCTGTATGCCTTCCCCATCTTATATATATGTATGCTTTGAGTAATAAGAAATTGCATGCAATTGCAATCCCGCAAGATCTTCGTAAAGAATGACATACACAAAAAAACACAAAATGAAGAAACCCGAAAACGGGCTGACAAAAACTGAGCAAGGGAAAGAAGAACACCGGCCCATTGTTATCAGACAACGGGCAATGCAAAATAATGATCCATGGCTCGCTACGGCGCGCGCAAATTAGGACAGGAAAAAGCCGCTGCGGAATAAAATGCAACAAAAAATAGGTGTAGTAAACCGCTGACGGTTTAATACGGCAAGGCGTTAAGGTCCACCTCGGGCTCATCGCTGTTGTTGTCCTTGTGGGCACCGCCACGGTGCTTCCCACTATTGCGGCCGAACCGTCCACCGCCGCCACCGCCCTCGCCCGATGCGGAACCGCCAATGCCACCGCCGCCAATATCGGGGTCGACACGGTCCAGATCCGGTGGCCGACGGGGGTTGCTACCTCCACCCGCACCACCCATACCGCCGCGCTTCTTCTTGCGGCCACCACCGCTTGCAGCACTACCACCACGGGCTCCATTTTTGCCTCCTCGGTGGTTGCCATTGCCGTTACCGTGGAAGTTGGCGCCGTCATCGGCCTTGCGCTTTCCGAGAACTGCGTTAGGGCCATTATGTCCGTGCTGGTGGCGGTTTCGGTCGGCTGCAGGTCCTGTCGGGATGGGTTTCGTAATGACCGGCCCGTTACCGCCGGCCATCAGGGCTGAATGGGCAGCAGCAGCTGGATGGTCACGGTTGTTGTCGCTCCGCGTCGCCTCGGCGTGGCAGCTGGCATGGTAGACCCGCGAACCGATCCGGACGGCATCGATCCAGACCCACTCCTGCGCCTCATCGAGCCACTTCATCTCGAACTTCTCCTGGCAGATGGGGCAGGTCTGGTTGGTGTTGGCGCTGCCCGTAGGGACAGGGATCCATTGCAGCTTGGCACCTGCAGCACCGGCACCGCCACCAGCAGCACCAGAGCCTGCTACCCGGCCACCACTGCCACCGGCTGCACCGCTGCCGTTGGCCCCATGGTGGTCGACGCCGTCCGAGTCGATCGTCTCACGAGAGTGGATCCAGTCCGCCTGGTCGACGTACCAACTGCGGTGCTGCCCACGTTTCTCGGCTTCGACAATACGCTGGTGGACACGGAAGTGCCAGTCCATGTGAGCTGTCTTGGCTGCACGGCCAGCCTCGTCGGTACGGAATCTACGCCCGCACTGAGTGCAAGGAGGGCCAAGGTTTTCATACATCAAAGGCAGAAGGTGAGGACGGAATCTATAGAGCGCGAAGGGTCGGTTAGTAGACATTCTGCACTCAATTACAGCAACGCCTAAAGTGGGCGAGGGCTTACTGTTTAAGAGACGAGGACTGGAACGAAATTTCGTTCTGAATCTCGCGTAACGGGTCACGGGGAGCAGCGACGGCGTTGTTCCGGATGGACGCAATGATATTGGCCAAACCCGGAACATTCAGGCCAGCTGGGGGTAGAGGTGGCTGCGTCGGGGGCTGGAAAGGGGCATTCTGAGCAGGTGTCTGCTGTTGGAGGATTCCAGCTTTTCTAAGCATATCCACCAAAGCCAACGGGTTGGCTGTGTTGGTTGGGGCAGCTGGAGCAGGGGCAGGCGCCATTTGCTGCTGGGATAGCACACCTTGAAGCAGCTGTGCTAGCTGCGGTGTACTTGGAGGTACGTATGGTGCCTGTGCCTGTGGCGGCGGTGGCGGCAGCTGTTGGTGCTGCTGCTGCTGTGGTTGAGACGGCTGTTGTTGCCGCGCGGCAAGGATCGCAGCAAGCGCACCCTTCCCAAGAAGGCCGTCGATTGACATACCACCGGCAGGTGTCGGTTGTGGCGGAGGCGGCGCCGGGGTTTGTGCAGGAGGTGTAGAGCCCGCAGCTGCCATAGACCGAGCAGCGGCTAAAGCAGCCAATACGGCGGCTGGCAAGGGCGGGTTGCCACCCGGCGCAGATGCGGGTGCTCCTGCTGCTGATGCCACCGGCGGGGCCTGGAAAAGAGGATAGTTGGCTGCCGGCGGCGTCGGCGCTAAGCCGATGCCGGCCTTTAGATGGGCAGGCAAATTTACGGCGAGGGCATCAATTTGATTTCTTACTAGGACGAGCTTGTCGTGCTCGAGGCCTTGGCTCTTTAGGATGGTCTGTAGATCCAGCAGCGCCTTTAACCTCCCTGCCACGCCGACATCATACGACTTTTCTGTAAACTCTGTCTTGGTTGCCTGGATCAACCGTTCGACATCTTCATTCAGCGACTCTAAGCTTATCCTTGAAGGAGTGGCAGGAGGGGCATAAGGATTCTGGAACGGCGGTTGCTGTTGCTGTGGCTGCTGTGGTGGTGGTTGGAACGGACCGCCCGCTGTTGCGTATGCAGGCGGCTGTGGTGTTGTTTGTGTTGTTTGATTCGGTGGCTAGTTGACAGCAACAAGTGTTAGACGCTACGGACGAGTTACAACAAGCGGGAAGGACTGGTCTGTCCCGCCCCGAACTGATTTGTACTTACTGGGTGGAAGGGGTACGACTGTTGCGGCGGTTGCTGTTCTTGCGGGAGGGGCTGTTGCTGGCCGTACGGGCCTTGTGGAGGGTAGCCTGGACGGCCACTGGGTCCCGGTGGTGTTGGCGTCTCGCGATAAGGAGTGGCACTGTTTGGGCGTCCACGGCCGAGCAACTGCTGCTCGCTACGTATGTGTTCGTGCTGGGCTTGCAGCGCCGATGTTCTCGCCTTAATAAGGGCATTCTCGATCGGACGGGTGGTCTCTGGGCTGAACACAGGCCGGGGGTCGACGGATCCGGGCACTGGTTCCTTCCACGTCTTGAGCATCTCGTCCATCTTGCGTCGCGTACCATTATCGACAGAGGCGTAGGCGTCCATGAAAGTCGAATAAAGACCGCGGCCAAAGTAGATCGTGTAGGGGGTGCCAACGTTCTTGACGATGGAGTCGAGGAGGTAGAGGGCTGGCAACTTTCGTTGAGGAGCAACCTGATACGAGGATGGTTAGAATATAGAGCAGCCGGCGGCATAACAATGGGTTACATGCGACTGCAAAACAAGTCGGCGTACCTTCTTAATGTGTTCCTGAAGCACTTCCGAGATGCCGTGTGCGTACTCGGTGTTCTCCCGGGCGATGACAGTCAGCGTGGTGATCTCGACCCGCGAGTTCATCGTCAGTTCGCTGAGAGCATCCCGGAAGTCCGAGGCAACGCCCTCCGACTGGTCTTCGTACGACATGACGTTGACAAGACAAGCGCGACAGAGATGTACGTTCTTTTGTCAGCTTGGTTTTCGTTATCCCTCCCGTCCTATGCCTTTGTTTTGGTGCGTTTGCAACCTCGCAAGGTCGTGCTTAATCACGCACGGCCAGATGGGTGGCAACCGTCGTTTTTCTTGAGACCAAAGCTGTATGTGTGTTTTGCGAGACTCTTAAGCCCAGATGCAAAGCGTTTGGTTTCCACGGCTGATGGAACCAGGCCAACGGAAAGGGCCACAAGGCCAAACACAATTAGAAGCGAAAGATAGAACTCGAGCAGAATCACAAGAGTCGCCAGCATCAACGATAGCGTGTGCGAGCTCGTGTTCAGCGCGGTCTGTCTCTGGATTTCTGACCGAGCACCTGGGTCACTTTGCACTTGATGAAAAGAAACGTGGACACGGGGAAACACGATGGCCAAATCAAATGGTCAGCAGGAATACCGGTGACGCCTAGTTTCCAAGAAAACGCGCACACTCCGTCGTCTGTTCCCCACGACAGACGGCTGTCAAAGCAAGATGCAAGGACTGATGGAAAGGATGATGGAAAAGTCGAGCGTCAAATGGAATCAATACGGAGACGGTGGGCGATGCAGAAAGTTGGCGATGGAGTGTCGCGAATCAGCAAGTTGTCAAGTTGTGGTGACAAGGCGCGCGAGCCGCGAAAGACGAAAAGGGAATCGAAAAATAGCAAAAGAAAGAAAAAAGAAAAGAAGAAAACGACGGAAGGCTTTTGTTCACGAATTGACGCCCGCTGCTCGCGGCGAACGAAGACGCGCGCAAGACGACGAGCGAGAGAGAGAGATAGGAGAGAAATGAAGCAAAATCGAGGAAGAGGCTTGGATTCTTCCAGAATTGGCTCCTTGTCTCCTTCCCCTGTGTTCCCCTTCCTTCCTGTTTAATTTTTTACGAGACCTCCCTCGTTTCCTTCTCTTGCAGCCGGCTGAGCGATTTGTTTGTCCTTGATTCCTTTCGTTGACGTTGGGAAGGAACGAAACGGTGGTTGTCAAAAGGACAAAATTGGAAACAGGGAAGGAGAGAAGGGGGAAGGAAAGAAAGTGGGAGTTGCAAGGGAGGAGCGACGGAGAGCTGGCAAAATAGGAAAGCAGTGTGCCTCGTGGCGCTTTCTGGTGGCGCTTTCTGGTGGCGTCAGAATCTAAACGGTTATGTAATACAAATAGTCACGTGTTTTAAGCTGCCATTTGATAATGCAGGGTTCAGGCGCAAATAGCCGAATTAGGCATTGTTGGCCCACTAACACGAATTTGCTGGGCTTTTGCTGGGATACATAAAGTAAATTGTCACTCCTTTAGCACAATTTTTATTTTTGAAATTGTTCAATTATAAGTAAAATCCAAGTGAACATACGTATTATGGTGGACAGGAGAAATAAACCAGAAACGCCCGTCGACACGTCGACCATGCAGTCCGCGTTGCTTTGTACGGAGTAGGGTATCTCCCTGAAAGAATAAAGGTAAAAAAAGAAAGAGGTAGAAACGGGATGGACAAAGGGAAATGCATGACACCAAACGAAAGAAGATCAACAAAGGCAAAGGCACAAACGCCAGTGAACGCCCCGTGAGCCATATGTAAAGGACATTGGCAGTTGACAAAGGAAATTCTAATATGGGTGGGAAACCGAAAAAAAGAGACAGCAGACAGCAGAGGGCCGTCCTGGCCAGCAGGACAGAAACCTAGAACCGCGACATGTTGGCAACGCTGTAATGGCTGCTCATGGCAGGGTGCTGCGCCGTGGGCGGGCGGCGGATCTCGGGTATGATGGGGCTGGAGCGGTCCTCGTGGTACTCGCTGCGGGCGTCGTGATCACGGTCGTGATCGCGGTCGTTGTCATCGACAACCGTAGCGGCGTCGTTGGTGTGGCTGTAGTAGTCACCGCCTCCCATACCCACACTGGCGCCTTGGTTGGCAATACCGGCCGTCTCGTCGTCGTAGTTGCCAACAGGCAGCGGGTGACTAATCTGGATCTTCTTGCCAGCAAGACCGCCTTGGCCGTGGGCCAGAAACGGACTCTTCTTGAAGACCTGGGTCATGCGCTTGAAGCGGTTGACAGGCGGGTTATTGGCTGCCGCGCTCTCTTCGTCGCCCAGGCTGCTTCCACTGCTGCCATACGTCATCTCCTCCTTGTTGTAGCGGCGGGTGTTGCTGCGGGAGATGTTTGACGAGGTGGCGGCGTAGTAGTCGGCAGGGTTGCCGCTGCCAATACCAGAGCCAAGCTTGCCGCCGTCGGCGAGGTTGCCGTCAGCGCGGATCATGCGGGCTGTCAGGCCGGATGGGCCGTCGCGGAAGATTATGGTGGCCACAAAGTTGAAGAAGCCAAAGGTCAGCGACAGGATGCCGGCGGCCATGATGAGGCGCCACAGGGGCAGGCCTATGTTCTTGATGCTGAAGACGGGCTTGTTGAGGTTGCCGAGCATATCACAGCCGAGAACGACCATAGCGAGACCGAGCCAAAGGAAGCCGTGACGGTCAGAGAAGGCGGGCCAAGAGCGCTCAAAATAGCGCTTGAGAAAGCCCCACTGGATCTCGGTGAGAATGAGGAAGATGGCGATCGAGGAGGTGAAGACGTGGGTGATGGCGTCGAAAAAGAAGAACTGGCCGGTGACGCCCGAGATGACAATCATGACCCAGCTGGCGGCGACGATGGCGATCAGAGCGATAATATTGCAGGGACGCAGGACATTGAGAGCCCTGTAGCCAATGCCACGCAGCTTGGTGTTTCCGGAAAGGTTGAACATGGCGTCGTTTTGGAGACGTTTGTCGGTCGTGAGTGTAGAGAAGATTGGGCGTTGATGTATTGTTCTTGCTGCTGTCGTTCAGATCGGGCTAGCAGAGCTGGGGATTCGTGCGGATTGGAGGTTGATAATTGCAGTTTGAGAAAGGAAAAGGAGAGAAGAAAGAAGGAGGTGTCAAGATATAGTAAAAGAGCCAGCTTTTGCGTGAAAGTATGCAAGAGGAGTTATGTGCACCGGTCCAGATGGCAAACGACGAGAGAAGTAGGTGAACAAGAAAGCAAAGAAACGAACAGAACGATGAATCGTAAATAGAAGAGAGCAAAAAGGCCAAGAAACAAAGGCACGGGGAGGTGATAAGTGAACAATGGCTTTCTTGTCGTTTTAGGTTGACGCAGTCACCATTATCAACAAGAAATCAAAGGCGAGGCGGTGAAAGAGAGGGCGACAGGAAAAGAAAAGCACAAAAGAAATGAACCGTGGCGACAGGCAAGAAATGTTTGAAGCTGGCCAAGCGAAACAAGAAAAATGAGAGGACGAGGGTGTTTGAAGCCCTTTAATACGATCCTGCGATTGTTCGTGGACGTTGAATGTCGTTTTGTGGAGACCTTTCGGGGACGCTGTGAATGGGACGATTTGGTGGGGAAGGAACGTGGGAAGGGAAAGAGCGAGCTGCGCGCTTGCATCGAGCGCTGCTCAAACGAACTCCGGCAAACCGACGACAGCCAAAGAAACGACGAGAAAATGAGGCCAAAAAGGAGCGAAAGAAGACAACAAGCTGACGAGATTGGAAGACGAAGAGAGATTCAGGGTTGCAAAAGGGAAACAAGTTCTGTCGATGTCCTCTGTTGTCCTCGACTTGTTTCGCATTTTCAGGCCGTGCTGGCCAATGAATATTTTAACGCTGGTCAAGGCCGAACACACCTGGCCAGGGCCAGGGCCTGGAAGGACTGGCCCTCTGCTCTGAGGGCTCTGCTCTTTGATTTGTCTTACCTTTCTGTCAGTCCTGCTCGATTCCAGTTCTTCTGGTATGAATGGATCTCGCCCTCACTTTGGCGGGTGTTTGCGGCCTGAGACGAGACTGGGGGCCTTGAGGGACAAACGCCATCGTCTCGGAGAAGGAACACCTTCTTTCCTGCTCTCATTCTTCTCCTCTTCCAAATTCTGATTTTTCCTATTCCGAGCCTGGCCTCATAGTCGCGTCACTGTGTCACGCGCCGGGTACGCTTTGGGAGTCATGCCTTGCAGCATATGTAGATGCATTCGCAGTCACTGTTGCCGCCACCATCCAGTCACAGTCGTTGCGTGGATGCATAACCACAGCGCAACCTGGGTCATACGCCCCTTGCTGTCCAGTGTGTCCCTGGGTTTCTACTCTTTGTACGCGTCTCTCTATGTGTTTCTTGCCTTCAGCCGGACCAGCGACACCAACTACCTTGCCACCACAACCAGAGAGCAAGTGACGAGGCTACTGCGTGCTTCCCGGTCTTGGGATGATAGACAGAGCAGAGCGATTGACCGTCGGTGTGATCGCTGGCAAAAGGACGGGAAACATACCCTCCCATGTACGATGCCATGTAAATCGCGGTACAATTGTAGTAGTGCAAGTCCAGACGAGGCACTGCAACCGAGGATCGACTGGGAGAAGGAGCGATGGAAGGTGGCTAGGCAAGGGAAGGAGCAGGCGAGAAGCCCAACGGCCTTCGGCCTTCCACGCATGAAAACGATGCGTCGCTGTCCAATCGTCCCACGAGGAACCTGCATGCCGCTTTCTTGGCATCGGTATCAAGAGGGCGAGACGTGCGCGTGGAAGAAGTCCAAGGCTAAAATAAAAGTGTCGTGTGGAAGCAGATCGTCGCCCTCAGAGTCGTCGTTGGCGCGGCCTCGATTGGCTCCCAGGGCTGTTTACAGTGTTTCAGGTCTGTTGGGCTGTTTGGGAGGGGAAAAGTGGAGACCTTCGGTTTCGGTTTGTGTGAAGAGTGTAAAACAACAACAGCGCCAGCACACTTGGGCATAAGACTCAGCCAACGCGCCGACGTAGCCCGAATATGCGATGCAAAGCACATTGTAAGATTATGACCGCCTCTTCTTTGCGTACAGCGCATTCATGCTGTTGCTTTGCACAGCCATCCTTTCACCACCCGAAAACGTACACAAATACAAGTGACGCTTAAACTGTATGGCACCTGCCTCACTTGCCGCCATGACCGGGAAGGAAGGCGCACAGGAGCACGGAGAGAATACGAAGTAGAGGCCCGTCAAATGTGCTGCCAAACGTTACTCGGAGCCTCATCTGTTGATTCTGCTCGCTCATGGATTCTGTTCTAATCGCTTATTTACCTCATATGTCGGAAGAATAGAAGACGAAAATGGGCGCTGCATAACGTGCACGAGGCCAAAATGGAAGCGCCGAGCGCGTCTACAAGGCCGGCAGTCGGTGTCTGTACTCCACTGACATGAACAACGGCAATTCACATGTAACGTGTGTATGTCGTATCCTACAAGACGATAGGCTCACCTTGAAAGACGAGCTGGAAATTGGGCAAGGACAGAGGTATCAGGCGTTGGACATGGGCGGGCCGAACAAACAGCAGGCCGCCTGTCGAGGCCACCACCGGCGGCTATCGTCCACAGCCGCCGTCTCTTTGCTATATCGTGTCCTATTTTAGTCCGGGCCCTCGAGGACAGCTCGTGGAAAAGACGAAGCAGAATCGATGGCTTGCTGACGAGTGGTTGGCGAGCTGTCGTTGATAGAACGTTGTAAAGGACAAATGGCTCCTATCGGTTGCACGTGCCTCATTTTTAGCATATCGCTTTAGTGGCGCCAGCCCAGACATCTGCGTAGCCCGCAATGATAGAGGCCCCACCGCCTGTTGTCGCAAACCCCACCTGACCATTCTCGTTGCCTCACTGTTACGACAGTAATTAATTCGTACTCCGTACAAAAAGGCCAAAATAGCATCAACGCGGCCGGCGCCTCTCGCGCCTTTTTTCGGGCCTCGCATTTTTTGCCGCCTTTTCTCCTTCGTTACCTCTTCCTCCCTCACCTACACTTCCGTCGAGTGGACACGCGCTCGCTACGCTCACGCCCGCACACCATCGCTTAGTCCTTTATCTTTTTCGACCCCTTTCCTCTTTTTTTTCGGTTTTCGTCAGACCAACCCGACGGCCACTTTCACCATGGCTCGCGGCAACCAGCGGGACAAGGCCCGCGAGAAGAACCTCAAGGCTCAGGCCGGCCAGGTACGTTCGAGCTCAGACTACATGGGGGTGGCAGAACAGGTTTCTAACCATGGCTCTCTCGTTGCAGAAGAAGGCCAACACCAAGAGCGGCACCGAGATGCAGCGCGACCGCGACGAGCTGGCAAAGAAGATGCGTGAGAAGCAGGCAGCTGGTGAGGACTCCGTTTTTTTGTTTCCTTTTCTGGCGGCAAGCCGAGGAGGGGGTGACGTCGTTGAGGGCCGTTGGCTACTTGAAGACTCAAACTGACACACGTGTTCCCGTTTCTTAGCTGATGCTCGGAAAGCGGCCGAGGCTGGGGCCAAAAAATAACCTGGGGCGCATACGAACACGGAGCATGGGGACTCGAGGACAGGAGACGTTTGGATCGAAAGCCCGTTGTCCTTTTACTTCCGTTTTGATTGCCTCCGAATGGCCGGGCATACACGGACTCTACGGTATTGAGAGCCTGTGTATTGGGCCGCTTTGGTGGCACATCATGACGAGCTGGACATCAGGTAACGCCGGAGGACTTCGTTCTCGGTGAAGACTGCCTCGAACGCTCTTCCAAGTTCTGCTCCTAAAGCGTTCCTGACGTGACTTGGTCCTTTTTTATATGGAGTCCTGCTACCCTTTGAGGAACTTGCGTTGCGTTTGGCGTTCTTTTTTTTATATTACCTTTTTTTGTGTATATCCTCTACCGATCAACACGAACAGCGGCATGGGTGGATTGCACAAGATTTCTCTTGGTATAGACTACATATATAGCGAATCGATACGAAACTGTACACCTTCGACTTTACACTGCACTCCAAACATACTATACATCGGCGTTGCTTTGCTTTACATCTTTATCAACTTTGGGCATTGAAGAAACCGTTTTCATGTTTTTTTTTGGCTGTTGCGAAAATGGGTAAAGTTTTTTATGGAAAAAAGGTGTCCTATTAAGTCCATCCAGAAAAAAAAATACGAACCAGTCATATGTACCTTTTCATCCGGGAAACAAGCCCCATAAGGGAAGATTTTTGAGACAAAGATGAAGAGGAAAAGGGAAGAGAAAAGTCAGGGTAAGTAAAACACGAGAGGAGAAAACTGGAGAATAGAAAACAACATGAAAAAGGAGTCCAGAAACATAGCCTTTGCGGCTCTCTCACAAGCGACGAAAACAAGACGCAATGGTTGTCAAAAGGGTAACAAATGAAGACGACGCACAACACGCCTACACGTGGAGACGCATTTATGCGACCACGGCAGTCGACGGCAGGGAGCCACCGAAACCACCAAAGGCACCGACACCCTGTGCCTGGACAGCCGGGAATGAGCCAGCAGCGCACATGACAGCGCACGAGCAGGAGCCGTCAGCGTTAATACTGCCGGTGCCCGTGGTCAGACCGGTGCCGCTCGAGCCGACAGCAGCAGCCGTGTTGGTCGCAGCCGTGCCGCCCAGCGTAGCAGTCAGAGAGTCGGCGGCAGCCAAGGCCGAGGTGGTGGTGCCAGAGGCGACAGTGGTACCGCTGCCGCTACCAGCAGCAGCGCCACCAGCGGCGGCGCCGCCACCATTACCGGTAATGGCACTGCCAGTGCCAGTTCCGTTCTGGGAAATGGCCATCTGCTGGAACATGGCCTGTGTCTTTGCGGCAGTGGGGTTGATGGAGAAGGTCATGCCCTTACCGCAGTGACCTTTCTGGCGGCAGTAGAACCCTGTTTTATTGGTTAGTTCGGGTTGGAAAAAGGAGTATGCGGACAAAAGCGGGCTCAAGACATACACAGAGGAGTGTCGACCATGACCTGAAGGGCGACCTGCGGCGGTGGGTTGACAGAGTTGTTGGCGTTGGGCTGGAAACCAGAGTCCATGCCGCCGGCGAGCAGCTCGCAAGGGGTGGCAAAGGCAGACTGGGAGACGGTGTGGTTCTGGCTCAGGAACGTGAAGATGACCATGTCGCCGACATTGGCGACGATGCTGCTGGGCTCGTACGCCAGACCCTTGGGGCCACCGACTGTGACCGTGTGCGTTGCGCCAGCACCGCCAGCGACAGCCGTCGCACCAGTAGCGGTGGTTCCAGTGCCACCACCGGCAGCAGCCACAGTCGTCTCTGCCGGGGCACCAGCAACACCACCAGCACCAGCCGTCACCGTCTGTGTGACTGTCGAGACGGCGTTGATGGTAGTGGTGGGCACACCACCACCACCGTTGACCCAGATGACGACGATCTCGCTCAGGGAACCCAAGACCAAACCAGCTTCGGCGAGCAGCGCGGCGTCGGCGTTGACGACCTGGCTGCTGCCGACGCCGCCGACGCCGCCGACACTGCCGACACTGCCGACACCAGCAACATCACGAGAGGGGTGAGGTCCACCCTTGTTGTTGTTGTCGGCGTTCTTGGGATCGCGGCGGACAGGGTAGACGTTGTGGACGGCCTTTGCGAGCGCCACGGGGGCAATCGCCAAGCTTAATGCTGCGGAGAACTTCATTGTGACGGTTGACAAGAGAGAGAAGTGAGAAAAAAAGACTAGCTTTTGGCGCCGAAAAAGACTCCTCGAATATGAAATTTTCTGTTTTTGTGTCGTAGGACTTTCTCAAAAAGTTTCCTCTAGGGATTTCCGAATGGTGGTGCTTGAACGAAAGGTATAATCTGGATGTCGAGCCTGCTCGTTAATAGGACGAGAGAAGTGAAATGAACGCAGGAAAAGAAAAGAATGGAACGTCTTGTCCGAAGGTTGACAAAATTTACGAAGACGAGAAACAGGTATAAGAAACAAAAAAGAGGAAAGGAAAGAAGGAGAGAAAAGGGGAAGAAGGGAAGAAGGGAAGAGAGGAAAGAAAAGGGAAAACAAGACGAGAGAAGGGAAGGGGGAGTACATAAAAAGAAAAGTCTTGGCTTGATCCTGTCTCCGAGTTCCGTTCTCCTCTCTCTGTTTGTGTATAAGTGGAAACCCACATCCCATCCATGCACGTTATCTGGGCGTGGTATGGGAAGCTCAGAAGAGGAGACGATCCCAGGCCGGGGTGTTGCTGTGCACGGAGTATGCAGCGTTTCTTTTTACTGACCAGCTTGTTCCTCTGTTTTCTTCGAGGGTCTGTTCTTCATCGACTGCCTTTGATTCCCTGCTGGCCATCCCCTCTCCGCCACCCTCGTAAGCTCGTAAGGGGCGTAGCATACGCATCACGGAGTCGGCGGGGCTTGACGGCGGAGGGACTGAGTGCAGGAAATGGCGTGACTGGGGCGAGGAGACAAAGGGGCCGCTCTGAAGATGCGTGGCTCTCAGAGAGGGTCGTTGAGAGCTGCATCACCCCCTCGAGCCTCACCAGAATTTCGAAACAGATGGCCGTGCATCATCCGGCCAAGGGGTGTTCCCTGCCACGGTCGGGCCCAGGTGTCTCCGGACAGTATGCAAGCACGAGAGGCAGGGCTCTTGGGACGTCGTGACGAGGCTCTGCTGGAGATGCCCAGAGCTGGGAAAGGATGCAGACTCGACGGAAAATTAGAGTAATGGGTCGGAAAGGGAGGGTTGCAATGCAGGCTTGGGTTCAAACAGTGTCTGTTTCCTGGGAAGGAAGGGTCTGGAGGTCCGTGTTAGGAAGTTGCGTGTGAGAAAGCGACGGCCACTAACACAGGAAGGTGCTGGCCGCTGGCAAGAGAGCTTCGCAGGACCAGTTCCTGGGCTAGCGCGGGGGCTTGTGTTTTATGGTTGTTGTGGCAGATCTGTCTCGGATCGTGTTTTGGCATTTGTCGCTACGGGGAATGGTGACAGGGGTCAGTGTCTGGTCGGTCTGGGTCGTCCTTTCCTTTGCACCTGTCGAAAGCAGCCCGCTTCCGCTTTGGCCGTTTCCGCAGCCAAAGAGACTGGCACCAGAGACAGTTCGCTCTTTCCTACGAAATAATTGTTATGAAATACCGACTTCGTAATATCTACACAACCTAAAATAGGCAAAAATGCAAGAAGGGAGGCGCGACCGACTTGTCAAGTGTCGTCTGGACTCTGCAAGCTTCAAGGCCCTATCTTCATAAGACGGATGATGCTGAGAGATGTAGAACATGTTGTCTATTGATCATTTCTCTTGAGACAGTTCTTTTCTTTTGTTTGTTTTGTGAAATTTATTTCTTCTGCTTCTATGGACTCTGCGATGGGTCCTCTTGGAAGCCAATGGGACTGTGTCATTTGTTTAACACTCCGCATAGAAAGTCGCGGCCAGAGACAAAAGAAGCAAGAGCAAGGAGAACCGCAGCAAGGATGTATTTTCTTCTTCTTTTCTTTCTGGACTAATTATCTCAAACGAGCCCCAGGAGTTGCTGCGTATGAGTCGCATTTCTACACTTTGGGCGGATGCTGTCATCCCAAATGCGGTTGCTGGCCGGCGCTATTCGACGCTACGACCTCGCCTACCCCAGCGGGCCCTAAACTTTAGAGGCCCCTAGACTGCCCCTAATTACGGCACTTCCCACCTCCTGTAACCGCTCTGCTTCACCGGCGGCTTTGGAATACAAAATGCAAGGTAAGAAAGGCCCAATTATGAATTTTCCGTCCACCTCCTCTTTATTCCTACCTTTTTTCTTAAACAGTATTTGCCGCCTCAGCCACCCGGCAGAGACTCTTTCCAGACTGCTCTTCAAGCACTATTAACAAGCGCACAGTCCTGTCACTGTCAAGCCTGGTCTGGTCTGGTTTGGCGTTGTCTTTTTGGGCAGGGGTCCTGTCATCGCAAAACAGAAAGAAAAAAAAATAGAACATGAGGCTCCTCATCCAGTGCAACTGCATCGTCTGGTCATGAACCTTGGCCTTGCCCCTGAATGCTCCGAGTCGAGTTTTCTGTTTATGTGAAAGGAACGCTCACGATTCTTGTATGTCGTACTTTGTAATTTCCTCAGAACCTGACTCCTCTTGGCCGTTTATCTGTGAGATGGAATTATTGTTATTCTTGGCTTGACGGCATCTGGGCATTTGCAAAGGTACGAACGCATGGGAGTATGAGGACCGGAAGGCGGAGAGTTGAACACAGCGACTTTAGGGAATTCGGAAAGAAAGTAAATCTTCCAGGTGTTTGTCTTTGACAAGAGTTGCTATGTCGTACATGAGACGGAGAATAAAAAAGCAGATAAATGAAGCCTATGAGGCAAAACGTAAGGATGCTATGGAACCCGAGAATGCTGCGTACTTCCGTATGTCGCTATACGGAGTTGAAAACTGCTAGAGAACACTGAAGAGACAGCTGCTCTACAAGAAGAGCTGGAATGGTCAAAAGTTTGAATGCAAAAGACTGAAATGGAAAAGGCCCGGGCGCATCCAAATCCGCCCTCGCGTTCCGCCTCCTGGAAACAAGATGTGTATCAGGTCGCCTGTTGCGTGTGCTACTGGGATTCTGCAGGCAACAAATATTCCTTTCATTTTGTGTTCGCCCATGCCTCTCACATTTTCCTTGGCAAGGCTTGTCGTCGATCAGGAGACATGGCTGGAGTGCACCCTCCTTCCAGAGTCCGCACTCGGCGTACGCCTAGTTTGACTTGTTACTTTGTAATATGGCCGTTGCCATCTGATTCACCCGCTTTTGTTCATTGTTCCTACCATAGCATCTTTTGTTTTCTAGTTCTGGCGGGCGTGCATGTGTTTTACCAAACATCTCTGCAATTTCTTCTCGGAAGCTGGGTGCTTGTCGTGATCCGGAATTGCAGTTGCATCACAAGCGAGGGGGGGACGCAAGGCGATGCCCCATAGAGTGCCATTTTGTGATCACAGCATTGTATTTCTCTCAAGTTCGCTGGCTAGCTAGCTCCACTCGAAATTCGTCTGGTCATTGCTGCATCTCTTGGTCCTTTTCAAGGCCCACTTCGACGCCATCTGCTGCTTGTCCGGTCTGTGCTTTTTCAACTCTGTTCGATGGCTGCAGCCCTGAATGCTGTTGCTGCTGCTCCTTCACGGCTTGTTGTTGGCCCTCATATAGGCCGGTGTAGTAGCCGGCGTAGTACCAAGACATGAGCAGCTTTTTCAAACCTTCGTCCGCTTTTATAAGACCTATTAGTAGATGCGACGGGCACGGATACCGGAATAGAGAGGCGGGAAAAATGAACATACTTCCTCCCAAGACGGTTTGCGGTGGTAGGAGGGCAGAAGCTGGCGGCTGGTAATGTGCCAAGAATGTCAGCCAAAGAACTCATCAAAAGCATAAACAAAAGTAAAAAAAAAAAAAAAAAAAAAAGTAATAACAATGGGGTGGGGGCCCATAGTATCGAAACAATGAACGGTTAACAAAAAAGAAAGAAAAAATAGTAGCAGAAATGCTTGTCGTGGACCCTTTCCGCTCTCTCGTCGTCGGGATCGACGGTGGGATCGCCTTCATCCGCTCAGCACCAGACCGCTCGACTGGCTGGGCAAAAAAAAGAGGGGAATGATGAATGGAGCAGTAATGTATAAGGTTAGGTTGGACAGTACCGTGTTTGATGCAGGTGCGGCGAACGTATGGCCTTTCGTTCCAGCTGATGCTGATGCTTGCGCAGGCCTCGGGACTGATGAGGCTGCACCGCCCATCACCTCGCCCGGAACTGTGGCACCCTCGTCGTCCGCCACCATCACACCGTCCGGGCCCTGTGCTCCTTCTCGGACGGCACTGCGGGTTGTTTCAGGCTTGGCGTCCCGACTTGTTTGTGACCTGTGTTGTTTGGTTGCAGATATGTTAGCAAGGACTGTACGAAAGTAGAAAATAGGAAGTAGAAAATAGAACGAGAGAATCAAGTTAAGAGGACAATGCGGCAACAAGAAACATGTGGCGTTTTGTTTCGCCAAGGATGTGACACAGTGGCGAGAGGGAGAGAAGAAAGGAGAAAAAGTAGAGATTTAGTGGTTGGACCTCCGAGGACCGAAGATGAAACAAGTTTGGCCTTTCATTGCCACCTTTGCTCCCGCCGTCTCTCATGTGTGTGCTGGTCCAAACGGATCTCAAGATTCTTCGTAGTGCAAACAGGTTTTGTTTCTTCTAAACAACTTCTGGCCATAAAATCGCGTGACATTTGTGGTGTTCCGCTTCATGACTTTGATAATGTATCAACTTACCGCGGCGGATCATTTCCGAGAATCGCCTGCAGGTCGCCAACAGTGCCTCCACGCGCCCGGACGTCGTGGAAGATCTGAGGTGCCCAAGTCAGTGATGGTGGTCGAGACGTAGTGAGGCATATGGAGATGTGACTGATGGGCAACGCACCTTGTAATCGCCAACGACACGGTCCCACGAATTGGCGATGGCCGCGTCTTCCCACGGCGAGCTGTCTTGCGCAGGTGCAGCTCCTGTCATGGCCACAAAAAGCTGTATACGGCGCGTTGGGTGTGGCCGAGTCGTCGCGTAATGTGTGGCGTGAGTTACAAACGATGTGTGTTGTAAAGACGCGATGATGAAAGCTGTTTCGAGGCATGAGATGAGGTTGAGATGCAGGGTCCCAACGAGACGCTAGTGGACTTATTTCTTGTCTAGGCGCGCCTGCCTTCTCAGTGGACTCGGTTTCTCATAGTGGGCCGCTCTCACAAATCTGCAGCCATCCTGCCATCCAATTCACACACGACCTGCATTCATCATGTAGATCATTGAAGACTCCTCTCCTCGTTCTAGGATGATCTGAGTTGCTAGGCTGACGCTCGTTTAACAAGGATCAGACATCCTACAGCCAAGTCACCACAAAGCGCTGCCCGGAGCCAAATCTTCCAGCCATGGCCATAATCGCCGGACTTGATCCGGATGAGATACACCAGTTGGCACATTTGACCCATTTGACCAAGTGACCAAAATGCCCACAAAATCCTTTGGAGCTACCGCATGTCGTTCGCAGCAGTGCCCAGCATGCGTTCCGTAATTAAGTGTCAGTACGCAGCTGTCACCGAGCCCCGCAACAGTGCACAGTAGCCCGGAGACGGCGGCTTCTCCAGGGAGGGATTTGCGTGCTCTAGACGGGTCTGGCCAGGAAGGAGCAGCTCCAGAGCTGGCTTCGGTAGCACCTGTCCCGTTTAACCTCTGTGCCTCTCCCCTCTTCTCCTCTCTAAATCGCGGGGACGAGCAGGGAAAGCGCGATCCAGTGAGCAGACGGGTGAGGAGACGCAGAGACACGCAACCGACCCGCCGCCGCTGCCCAGCCGCTTGGGAATGAAGGAGCCGCCAAAAGGACTTGCTTCATTGAGTAGCCCCGCACGCAAGCGATGCGATAGCGGGCCCCTTCCTTATGACCACAAAGACAGGAAGGAACCATGCTACACTCTCACCCGGCGGCCGGTGTTCCGCGCTATATTTTACAGCGATGTACGAAATATGGTCATGAGGAGCGTAGTAAAATGGGGGAAGGTGCCAGGGACAAGGGACGAAGCACGGAGGCAGCGCCGTAAAAAGGACAAGAAGCGCAGGATCCTGAACGCGAGTCCTCCGTAAGCGGCGAGTACGGTGGGATTTCTATTTCCAAGAGGCACTCTGGCCCGTTGCCTTCGCTTCCATTGTGCTATTGTTCTTCCTACTCTCTTTCTCCCGTGAGGAGCATGCACAGTCGAGGCAACATGAGCGCAGGCGAGGTATGTTGAGTCTGCATCGCGCCAGATTGTGTGATTCTCTGACAGATAAGAAAGGCACACAAGCATGAATCCATACTGACCATCCCGCTAGGATTACTACATTGGCGTCGATGTCGGCACAGGATCGGCACGGGCGTGTGTGATCAACGCGGCCGGCGAGATCAAGGGCCTGGCGTCTGAGGACATCCGGCTGTGGAAGGCTTCGTACGGCATCGACGAGATTCACTATGAGCAGTCGACGACAGACATTTGGCGGCACATCTGCGGCTCCGTCCGGTCAGCCGTGGCCGAGGCAGGCATTGAGGCCGGCGCCATCCGCGGCATCGGCTTCGACGCCACGTGTTCGCTCGCCGTCTTCAGCCACGACACCGACGAGCCCATTACCGTGACCAAGTCCGGCCTGCACCAGACGTCCGGGGACGAGGATCACCGCAACATCATCCTGTGGCTCGACCACCGCGCCCTCGCCGAGACGGACGCGATCAACGCCACCGGCCACAACCTGCTGCGCTACGTCGGCGGCACCATGAACGTCGAGATGGAGATGCCCAAGGTGCTGTGGCTCAAGAACCATATGCCCGCCGATGTCTTTGCGCGCTGCAAATTCTACGACCTTGCCGATGCCTTGACGCACCTGGCCACCGGAAACGAGACCCGCAGCTTCTGCAGTACCGTGTGCAAGCAAGGCTTCGTGCCGGTCGGCGTCGACGGCAGCGTCAAGGGGTGGCAAGAAGACTTTTACCAAGCCGTCGGCCTTGGCGAGTTGGCCGAGGACAACTTTAAGCGCGTCGGCGGCGTCAACGGGGTGGTTAGCCTTCTTGGTGTTTTTTTTTTTTGTTTGTTGCTTTGCTTGCCGTCCACATGACATTTGCTAACCTCCTGGTCTCCCATGCAGAACGGCCACTATCTAAGTGCTGGCGAGCTTGTCGGCCCGCTGTCCGCCAAGGCAGCCGCTGAGCTCGGCCTGGAGGCGGGCATCGCGGTCGGCAGCGGCGTCATCGACGCATACGCCGGTTGGATCGGCACCGTCGGCGCACCCGTCGATCTGGGCGACAAGGCCAACGACGTCAGCCAGGCCTTTACGCGACTGGCCGCCGTCGCCGGAACATCGACCTGCCACCTGGCCATGTCGCGCAGCGCTGTCTTTGTCGACGGCGTCTGGGGCCCCTACCGCGACGTCATGCTGCCTGACTTTTGGATGGCCGAGGGCGGGCAGTCGGCCACGGGCGAGCTGATCCGCCACGTCGTCGAGACGCACCCGGCGTTTGCAGAGGTCAGCGCTACCAGCGCCGAGTCTCAGACGAACATCTACGAGTACCTCAACAACCGCCTACGCGCGCTCGCGTCCGAGGCTGGTAGTCCCGCCGTCGGACACCTCACGCGCCACCTCTTCTTCTACGGTGATCTCTGGGGCAACCGCTCGCCCTTGGCCGACCCGCACATGCGCGGCGCCCTCGTCGGCATGAGCAGCACCGACAACTTGGCCGACGGCCTCGCCCTGCTCTACTACGCTGCGCTCGAGTTCATCGCCTTGCAAACGCGCCAGATTGTCGACACCATGAACGCCGCCGGCCACGAGCTGCGCAGCGTCTTCATGTCCGGCAGCCAGTGCCGCAACGACCTGCTCGTCAGCCTCATCGCCACCGCGTGCGGTCTGCCCGTCGTGATCCCGCGCTACGACAACGCCGCCGTCGTGCACGGCGCGGCCATGCTGGGCGCCAAAGCTGCCAGCGGTGGCGCCGACAAGGGAGCCACCGAGCCCCTGTGGACGATCATGTCGCGCATGACCCAGGCAGGGCGCGTCGTGCATCCCTCTGGCAACGTCAGGGAGGTGAAGCTGTTGCAGGCCAAGTACGAGGTAATGCTGGATCAGCTCAAGACGCAGCGGGAGTACCGCAGCAAGGTGGACGCTGCTGTGGCGGGATGGACGAAGTGAAGGTCAAACATAAGAGAAACGCAGTCTTGGCCTTGGATACGATGTAATGAGCATGCACGTGGTAATTGTAATGTAAAAAGAAGAAAGTGAAAATGCCGAATACAGTGCTGCGGGTGAATGCCAATCGTCGCTTCCCGGTGTGAATGAACCAGCGTTTCGCTGTGCCTGAATCTGCGTTTGTTGGTTGCACTTTGCTTGACAGGGCGCTACTTCCTAATTGGCTGATGGTGGCTGCTCCTTTCTGTGGAAGGACCCACAGAAGGCAAGCACCACCCAAAGCCCAAGCAACCAGGAAGCTATGCTCAATAAATTTTAATCCAAAATAAATCCAATAAAAAACGCGAAAGCAAAGGCCATCAAAAGAGAGGCTCACCACCTCATAAAACCGACGCCTTTTGTTGCTTCAAAGGTGCAGCAGGCCACCCACCGCCCCTTCTCAACACGCAACCCCCGGACGGCCGGGCATCTCCACGACTGCAATCCTTCCTTGCATCCGTCATATAAGTGCTCGCATACTTTCGCACCCGGATTGACGCGTGTTTACCTCCTTTTCACAAGCGGCCAGCCGTCAACAAACAATATCAACGTGCAGCTTGGCCTCGACTTCCACCAACCTTATCTCCCTCCTCTCCTGCTGTCCGGCATCGGATAAACCTCCACAATGTCGCTGTTTGGCGCCCCCAAGCCCGCGGCATCGGCCCCATCGTTTGGTGGCTCCCTCTTCAGCGGGTCGACGGCCGTTGGAAGCCCTTCGACGCCAGCTGCCCTCGGCGGTTCGACTACCCCTGCAGCCGGTACAGCTCGCCCGTCTGCCTTTGGCGGCAGCGTCTGGGGCAACAAGCCGCTGGGTGCCTCGACAACCCAGGCCACAGGTGGCTTTGGTGCGTCGACAGCCACCGCCGCCGCCAGCAGCAACAACAATATCAACAGCGGCAGCCTTGCTGGCAGCATCAATAATGCCGCTCGCCCGACAACTGGTGCCTACTTCGACAGCCTGCTCGCCAAGAGCAAGAAGCGCACCGATGGCGAGGCCGACTCCATTGCCGATGGTTCAAGCTCCGACCTGCCCAGCCTGCACCTTGGCCTCGGCGACCTGCGTCAGAAGCTGCGCAAGCTTGGTCCCCGCGGTGCTCCTGGTGCCCCTGGTGCTGTTGGTGGCGCTGCGCCGCTTCAGGACGGCAAGGCACACTACGTTTTGGCCGCGTCAGGTGTCGATCCGGGTGCGGCCGTCCGGGACCTGGGAAACTTTGGCATCTTCTCGGCCTCGCGGTCGACTGCCGCGGCCGGTGGCGCAGCTTCCATTGCGCCTGGCACTGGTGGCCAGTCCGGCGTCGGTGCTGGCTTCGCCAGGGGAGCCTCGGAGGTTGACGTCGACACCTATCTGACCAACCTGCAGACGAAGACGACCCTCAGCATGATTGCCGACGGCCTCGAGCGGTCGGTGCGCGACTTTGACAGCTTCCTCGAAGACAACGTTACGTCCGAGTGGGAGGCCCAGCGCAAGCGCATCTACGAGCACTTTGGCATCAAGACGCGGGACGACGTTGTCCCCGGCACGTCGGGGACTCCGCGCTACGGCACGCCCGATATTGTTGGCGGCCCAGGCGCCAGCACAGGTGGCTTTGGCCGCCGGCGGAGCCGTCAGCAGCAGCCCACACAGCCATCCAAGGCGGGGACGACGGGCGGTGCTGGTGGCAGCGTCTTTGGCCGGTCGCGGATGAACAAGTCCGTCATTGGCTCTGCGAGCCGCATCGGCGCCCACGCCTCGGAGTTTTCCGACGTCGAGACTGCCAATGCCAGCAACAATGCGGCAAGTGGCGGCGCGGGTGCGAGCGGCCCTGGTTCGCTTGATGACCGCTACACAAGAGAGAAGCAGGGCCGGCTTGCTGAAACTGTGCACCGCCTCAACGACAGCCGCATCGAGTCTGCGCCGTTCCCCATTCTTAGCGAGATGGTTGCTGTCGAGACGAGCATTGGCGGTGACCGCCAGGCCGCGCTCGTGATCGAGGCATTCCGCGCCCTGTCGCAGATTGTCGGCGAGGACCCCGAGTCCGTCAACCAGCCACATTTGACACGCGGAGCACCAGGGCCCCGTCCACGCACATTCGCGCGGGCATACTTGGATCCTAACCCCAATAGCGCCGGGGCCGTCTCCATCCGCCAGCGCATCCTCTCTGGCGCTAACCGGTTCCTCGAGACGAAGTTTTTCCAGGAATTGGAGGGCCAGATCGCCAAGTTCCCCCAGGAGGCGAGCCTGGGCGGCCGTCCCGATGTGGTCAGCAAGATTAAGGCGTACATCCGTGTACGGGCGGCGCAGAAGATGTTGGTCCCCGATAACGTGGACTTGCAGCAGGTGCAGGGCGAGTATGTGTGGGCGGTCATCTTCTACCTCCTGCGGTCGGGCCACGTCACCGAGGCGGCGCAGTACGTCAACGACAACCAGACGCAAATCCGTGGCATCGACCGTGTGTTTGCCAGCTACATCAACAGTTACGCGTCCAGTGAAGACCGCCGCCTCAAGCGCCCCATGCAAGAGCGCTGCAACAGCGACTACAACCAGCGCGCGCGCAATGCCCCCGAGGGCTCTGTCGACCCTTTCCGCATGGCCTGCTACAAGGTCATTGGCCGCTGCGACATGGGCAACCGCAACCTCGACAATCTGCAAACGGACGTCCACGACTGGATCTGGCTGCAGTTCAACCTGGCGCGCGAGGGCGACCGCATCTCCGAGCTGGCCAACGAGACGTACGGCCTTGCCGAGCTTCAGGAGACGATCCGCGAGATCGGCCAGAAGCACTTTGCCAAGAACGCACCCGGCGTGGCCGGCGGCCCGTATGCCATGTACTTTTACCTGCAGGTGCTCGCAGGCCTGTTCGAGCCGGCCATTGCCTACCTCTACTCCTTCTCGTACATCGACGCCGTGCACTTCGCCGTGGCCCTTGAGTACTACGGCCTGTTGCGTACGCCCGACGCCAGCCTCGCCGCCGCGAACGAGTTGCTGAGCCACAGCACCCGCGGCCAGCCGCAGATCAACTTTGCGCGCATGATCGGCTACTACACGCGCGACTTCCGTGCCGCGAACGCGTCGGCGGCCGTGGACTACCTTATCCTCATCTGCCTGGGCGACGACGACGTGAACGACAAGGCGCCAGCATCTTCGTCGTCGCAGCAGGTGGCCAAGTCCAAAGAGCAGTCCGCTGCTTCTGCGCTCTGCTACGAGGCCCTCCGCGAGCTGGTCCTCGAGACCCGCGAGTTCAGCAAGCTGATCGGTGACATCCGGCCCGACGGCACGCGCATCCGTGGCCTGATCGAGGAGCGCGGCACGCTCATTGCGCTCGACCGTGAGCAGGACTTTGTCAAGGCCATCACGCTGCAAGCGGCACGTGACGCCGACGACGGCGGCCGCACCACCGATGCCGTGCTTCTGTACCATCTGGCCGGCGACTACGACACTGTCGTTGTGATTGTCAGCCGCGCGCTGAGCGAGGCTATTGCCCTCGAGATTGGCGAGGAGCCTATGCGCCTGGTGCCGGTCAAGCCGCGGGTGGACAAGGACAAGTCGGCCAGCTCGACCACGGCCGCAAGCACTCCAGCAGCGTCCCAGCAGCCCGGCAGCAGCCTGAGCCTGGCGTCCATCGATGACCCCATCGAGCTCGCCCGGACGATGATGACCATGTACGAGCGCGACAACATGTTCCGTCGCCGCATCCGCGAGGAGACCCGCATTGCCTGCGGTGTGCTTCTGCAGATGAGCGAGATCAAGGGCCTGGTTGAGGCCCGCAAATGGCCGCAGTGCCTTGATGTATGTTGCAGCGAACCCCCTCCCACTCCCACTCCTTATGAGATGAGACTGACCGCCGACCATTCCAGAAAATTCGCGACCTGGGCATTCTTCCCCTGCAGGCGGGCGGCGATCCGGGCATCATCCGCAGCTTTGCCGCCCGCTTCTCGAGTCTGGCCCAGCCGGTGGCCATCAACGTGCCCAACCTGCTCATGTGGACGATCCTGTGCTGCACGCAGCAGCGCGAGCGTCTGCTCGGTGGCCAGTTCAGCGGCAACGAGTCGGCGTCACGGCGTCTGGCCGACGATCTCAAGCAGATCTGCGTCGACCTCACAGCCTACACCAGCCAGCTGCGGTACCGCTTCCCGCCGTACCTGCACGAGGCTCTGGCCCGAGCGTCTGCTGACTAGTCGAGGAAATAGTCTGGAAAGGTGTTTTGCTGTCTTGTGGCTACTATGGGTCCAAACTGTGGTTTGTTTGGATGACGCTTTTATTTGGCTGTTTTGTTTGCATGTATTTCTGTTACTTTCCATTTTGCACAAGCTTTCTACTTTTGTTTTAGTTGGCCGCAGGAGGCTGCTTGGAACGCACCTGCCTCGCCATGGATTTAGATACAAATACGAACCGAACGATCGCAGCTTCCCTGAAGCTGGCGATAAAAGCCAGTCAGCGGCTCTTTCCTTCGAATCATAAAGCGCTCCGCCGCCCTTTCCTACCTCGTCCATCTTGCCTTGGGCTGCCTCACTCCTTCCGTCCCAGCTTCATTACGATTTGGGGACAGAATGTCAACATGAGGTGCTTCTGTCCTTTTTGGCCAAGCTCATTTCCTTGCCATCAACATCACCAAACGCCATCACTACCCCATACATTGCAACATTACAACTCTGTCATCCGTACGCCATCTATTTTTCTTCGGTCCAACTACACATACGGTGCATCGATACAATTGTTTACTAGTTACATCAGTTTCTTTCTTCCTCATTAACACCAGGCGGCCATGGCAACAAAAAGCCCCAGAGATATTCGTGCGCTGCGTCGGACGAGTCGTTTGGGGAGCAGCCACGGGAATGACGAGGGCATCACGTCGACAGTGCAGGTGAGCCCGCGGCGCACCACTGGGCAGCTCCGTTTGCCGACCCCTGCAGCGTCGACGACGAAACGCCGCGTGAAGAGGACGACGGCGGCGAGCCGGAGGTCCAAGTCCAAGAGACCGGCCAAGAGCAGTGCTAGGAACTGCACCGAGAGTGATGCGAGCCTTGATCCAAGCAGCCACGACCATGAAAGCTTTTCGCCCACAGACTGTGCGTACTGCAGCCCAACAACGGACCTTACCAGATGCCTCCACAACCGAGGCAAGCCGCGACCCCCAAAGTCACCCGGTTCTTTCCTTGGTCCAGATGTCGTCTTGCAGTCTGTCGAGACCGCCCGCAAGAACGTCGATGCTCCCATGAGTGGACGCCAAATCGGCAACGAGAAACAACGGCACAACGTCGATAATATTGTCAGCATTCTGTCCAAGACAAAGGGTACGAGAGATCATTGAAGTGGTATCTATAATTGCCCACTTGCGATGCTACCAAAGCGCTTTTATGTACTAATGACCAACGAACAACAACAGAGAAAGACCAGGCTTCCTGCATCATTTCAAAGCCTTTTGTAAACATACTACCCAAACCTGTCCCTTCGACAGATCCCCACAGCGATGTCGATGCAGAGATGGTATCTCCCTCTTGCACTTGTCTACCGAGTCATCAGGTACCTCAGCAAACGCCTAGCCACCCGGCCCTTCAGCCATCCCAGGACCCTCACGTACGCTTTGTCAATACATTCCCTGACTCATACACTTCCGGAGGTACTATCAATGCTTCCGGAAGTACGGCCAAGTGGAAAAAGAAGCTCGCTTTGTGTGAACCGCTCGTGATACCCCAGTTCCGTCCTCCGACCCCATATCCTACAATCGTGCCGGGTTCGCCCTCTTCCAACTCGCCACAGAGCCCCAGGCCAATGGCCATGCCAAGTCTTTCCAGGCACTCATACTTTCCCGACAAATCCGCCATGTCTACTACGCCGGGAGTGTTTGCCTCATCACAGCTGCAATACCCTACGCCGACAAGTCTTCGTATGCAGCACAGTTACCAACTCAAAGACTTGTCGACCTCTGTTGGAGCAAATAGTATGTACTCAGTGCCATCTTCGGCTAACACCATATCCTGGTACGGCTCTGAGAGGAGCGTCGTATCCGATGAATACCCCACAGGGCCCCAGAACACGACCATGTGGTCCGAAAATAGCGGGCAGGGCAAGCCGTTGAGCGTGCCCGAAGTCTATTTGCAGCCTCCGACGCCCATACTGCGGGCGAGAGAACTGCCAGACTATACCAAGTTTCCTCCTCCAGCGTCATTCATGTGAGGTAACGGTTGAGGCTCCTTGGTTTGTAATGGTGAGCATAGAATGTTCAGGTCAAGTTGGACGGCGTTTAGACCAGGGACAGGAGTGGTACACAGTAAGAATAGCATTCATATGCGGTCATTTTTAGATAGACAAGCACAAGAGGAAAGAACACGAGTTGTTTCGAAAGAAAGGTGACAGTCCCAGCTTGCATTCATCGTCCCCTTCTAGATAAACTTTTTAGATTAAGCAAAGCAAAGCAACAGTTTCATTCCCAAAAGCTTGAAGCATTAGACAATCATTGCTAGCCGTCCCACTCTTTGTAGTAACTCCGCCCTTTCTTTATATCTTCGCCAAAATATGATCCCAAAGTCAAGTGTGGTTGGTACTGAAATTGATCAAGAACAACAAAAACATCAGCATCAAAATTGCAAAATATGAACATCAACCTCCACGTGGCTATTTGCTATAATGCATGGCCTCGCGCTGCCTTTTCCGTCTTCCCCCATTTCATTGTTCTGCATCGTTTCTCATATCGAAATAAAAGACGTCGTCGTTTCGTATTGGCGGTAGTTGCACCAGACGTGGCTCATGATCGTGTGTCGTTCGTCAGACAATAGAAAGCAGAAACTTCATGCACAGGCAAGAAAGATCGAAGCAGAATCCAACTAGAGAAAGATAGAAACGAAAACAACAAAACAAAAACAGCAAAACAAGAACAACAAAACAAGAAGCATAGAACACAGACGAAAAACTTGCAAAATATCAAAGCAAAATGGCAAACTCCTACAAGTACCCTGCCTCTGCAAAACTGATTAGTCCTGCCAAATTGGCACCTGGTTCTCGGTGTCCTCTTCGCGGAACAAAAGACTCTTGCCGTTGATCTGGGGCTTGCTTCTAGCATTGGCTGACAACATGGGTGCCGCGGTGACCTCAACAACCTGTGCTTGCATGGGCCGCCGTACACGGACGCGCTGCGGGTAGTGGAAGCTAATAGGCGGTTCCGGGCGCTCTGTTTGCTTTCGGGGCTGCGACTGTTGCAGCTGCTTCTTTTGAGAGGACGACGGTGAGAGGGTCGTCAGAGCGGCACGCCCGTTATCACTGCTGTTTCTGAGGCCACCACCACGGCTAGCGGTGGTAGGGCTGAGTGCGTCCATAGGACGGTGGCTGTGAGTCGATGGTTCTGGGCGGAGAGTATCGTCATTCCGCTTCTCCTTTTGTGCCCGGCTGCGATCATCGTCGAGGATCATGGCATCACCGGTGGTGCGGCCTTGACGGTCCTGGTGCACTACAGCAGCCGCGGTCTGCGAGCGTCTCTTTCTCTGCGTCTCCTGAGGTGCCTCTGAACGACATCCAGAGGGCTTGACTGCAGACTTGTGGTTATAGAAGCTGCTGCGTTCCTCTTCCGAGCTAGCGGTCCGGCTTGTTTCCTTGCGCTTCTTAGACACAATACGCTTATCGCCGCCAGTAGCCACGGCTGCAGCAGCAGACACAGGGAGAGGCGGAAGAGGCTGGTGAACCCGAACAGGTGCCTGCCCAGACTTGCTCCGGGTGATCCGCGTCGTTGATGCTGCAGAGTCATATGCACTGTAGTCGAAAGAGGGCTGCTTGCAGATCGTCTCGTAGTACTCTGCTTCCGCAGCGGCAGCCGCCGCGGCAGCAGCCTTGTGCATGCTCCGAAGGCTGCGTACACTGCCGTCCTGTCCCGGTGTCGAACGGATCGAAGGCGCCTTACGCAACTTCTTGCTGATCTTCCGCGGACTGTTGCGGGTAGGCGACCCCGAGGTGACATCGGTGCTAGAGCGGACGGCAGAGCCGGTGGGCTTTTCAACTGCAGCGTCATGACGGCCGTCAACATCCTCGCCTTCATCGGCAGGAGCGCGGACACGTTTTGTACCGCGCGGTGTGAGGGTAATGGTAGCAGTGCCAGCTGGAGACGGCGCAACAGGCGACAGTGGGGTCCCGTTGATCCACGGTGCCGACTTGGGCGGCGGCGGAGGCGGTGGAGGCGGGCGGGTCGGGCATGCAGCGTGTACTTCCGTGCCAATAGGAGCACCGCTATCCGTGCCGTTGCTGGTGCCACCGCGGCTAGTAAGGCCCTGGCGCGTCGCGGGAATCGCCCGCTTGCTGAAGAACCCAGACTGCATGAGCTGCTGGTAGTTGGCCATCACCTCTTCCGGCGAAAGTCGGTCGCCACTTGGCATGTCACCAGGCAGGGTAGCCGTGGCAGGCGTTGGGCCCCTTGCTTGCATGTGGTCTTGATGCTGCTGCTGCTGCAGCTCCTGCTCCTGCTCACGCTTCTTGGCCATGTCGGCCTCGACTGTGCTGCGTGTGCGGCGGTGCAGACGCTTCGTCACGCCGTCCCAGATGGGCCCCAGGAAGCTCCGAGGGCGGCGCAGGCTGCTGCTAGTGCTCGCCGTCGTAGAACTGGTGACCGCGGTATCCGCTGTGTCTGTCGATGTTATTGAGGCAGACGTGCCTGCCGAGGCAGTGGCGCTGTTGGATGAGCGGAAAGCGGAAAGCGACGGGCGAGCCATTTGCAGGGAGCGGCGGGTGCTTGTTTGGTACTCGCGGTGGGCATACGGATCCTCTCGGCCACCGTCGCCCCGATCACGAGATCGGGAGCGCGTGCGGCTGCCACGGTCATTGCTGCCACCAATACCTCCTAGGTAGGAGACGGGCGGTGCACGACTCGCACGGTCGTTCATGGAGCCTTCGACAAACCGCGAAGTGTGCGGACGCTGTTGCTGCTGGCTCGGTCGTTGTTGTGGCTGCAGTTGTTGCAGTTGTTGCAGTTGTAGCTCATCGAGATAGCTTGCGCTGCTCGTCCCTGAAAAGGAGGACGGCCGGGGAGCCGTAACCACATCGGCCTCGGTTAGGGCGGCCATTTGTATTCAGTAAATGTATAGGAGTGTATGGGAGTGTGTGTTGAGTTCAGGATGCTCGTCAAGGTAAGGTTTTCGGGCTGGTTTTGAGTATGCTTCTTATGGTATCGTAATTTGGACGAGAAACCATAAACAATTGTTGGAGTAGTAGACAAGAGTGAAAAGGTCCTTGAACGGATTTGGAGTGTAGCTCGTCGAGATCGGCAGAACGAAGAACGAGCGAAGGAAGAGAGAAGCGCAGTAATAAAGGTTAAAAACACAGGAGACGATAGAAGAGACGGAAACGAACGCCAATGTTTATTTGGGGTTCGTTGGAGTTCGTTGTTCGCTCCTTCCCAGGTCTCCAATACCAAAACCAAATGGGGCAGGACTGGATTGCGGGTAATCTTCTTTGCTCACGGATCGCACTTTCCCTGCCTTGTTGGCGTAGCTGCCTGTCTTACGTCGCAATGTCGTCTCGTCCGTTCTTTGCGTGCAGTTTCCCTAACAGGAATGCAGGCGTGTTTGTGTGCTCGAAATGGGAAGCTGTGGCATTTCCAATTTGTTTGGCTGGCGTCAGTCCAGTTTCCTTTTCTGTCTGGTTGTTTTTGGAGGGTCTAAGCGGCGATTGTTTACTTTTGCCCCGTTTAAAGCTCAAAGCCTGCGGGCCGGGCAACGAGCAACCGCTCCTCATTCCAAAGGCCGCTAAGCATTTTTGGGGAGACGCCTGGTCTGAAACATGAGCTCCAACCTAATTTTGGCAGCGGGTTGCAGTGGCGCCGTCCAGAGGGTGCATGGGACGCGATGACCTCCACGTGACTTGAGAAATCCCACTTTACTACCGAGTTTTGAACGACGTGACAAAAGCCTGTGATTTGATGAGGGCTGTGAAATGCATGCAAGCTGCAGACGCATGGGTCTCGTTTCTTTTTGCTGTTTTCATTTCGTTTCTGACCTGCATTGCAGTGTTCATTTATTGTTGGTGTCAGTTTTCATTCAATTTCGCTGTGCACCCTTTGCAGGCGTCGGCCTCCAGAGCGAGCATGCTTTGCTTTCGTTGCCGGATCAATAACCGTCCACAACATATTTGGCGTTGTCCCTCACTTTGCTCATGCATGCACTGCTTGCAACAACTATGTGTTGGAGCTAGGATGTTCCCAGGACGAAAATCTAGCTGTGGCTCGTAGTCTAGTATGGCCGAGCCTGGTGCCGTGTAGACGATAATATTGGCGATGGTATGAGGACCGAAAAACTGCACTGAAGAATTGCTTGAGCGCAAGTCGCTTTCTATATCTGTGCAAAAAAACCAGAGCTACCCGGCTAGGAAAAAGACACATGAGCCACAGTCCGTTGTTTCTGCCGTAGTTGCCGTTGCCGTTGCCGTTGCCTTACGGCCCTCTTGCGGGAAAGCCACGACTGATACGGGGTCACACACTGTGCAGTTCTCATACATAACGCGAAAGAGCGTGTTTGGAACACATAGCCCGTAGGATATCAAATATACCAAAATAGATTCAATTGTTTATATAGCTAACCAGAACGTTCCACGAGTGTTGGAACAAAAAAATGTTGAGGAAAATTATTCACGTACAGAACTCTCCTTGTCCCCAGTTTGCATGAGACAGAAAACGAGACAGGAAAAGAAACAGTTAGGGGGATCAAGAAATCAATAAAAGCAAAAACCAATATGAAAATGAGAATTGAAATGCAAAAATTGACATAAATGGTAATGAGAGATCGCACAAGATAGGACAATGGACATACAAGTAACGACAAAAAGACAAAGCAGATCAAAAATGTTCAATACCAAGCCTAAGAAATCCTTCCCAAAACGCCGTTCAAAGAAGAAAAAAACGTGTAAGACGAAATAAAAGGCCGAAAAATAAACAAAGTTTAATCCCGAATCCAGTCTTCGAGTCTTAAAGCGCTGTTTCGCGTGTAGGGAGAATAGAACGAACAGAGACAAAAATGAAGGAACGAATGAAAATGAAAAGAAAAAAAAAAACAGCAAAAAAATAAGAAAAACATGTCTGCGGGGGTGGTGGGTGCTGTCCGTGTTCTTGTCAAAAAGCAAAAATGAGTAAGAAATCGACGCCCGAGGCCTCTCCATCCGATTTGTACAATGCCCAGAATACCAGACACCAAGACACCCTTCACCCAACCCGTGGTAATGTGGTAAATCCGTAGGATGAATCTGCATCCAAATAAGAATGTGAATGGACGCCATTGATTGGGGCCATCATCAACCACCTCGACCAAAACCAAGTAGTGCCAAGAAGGGTCACTCCAAGTTTATAATGAAATGACCAAAAGGACTCGAAATCTCTTTCCTCCTTTCTTTACCGGGTGACCTCGCCGTGTGCCGTCCAGACGGAACCGTCGGCACGCTTCCACCAGAGCTGCTCATACTCGTGCTCGCGCGGGGGCTCAACCTGCCGAGCGTGATTCTTGACAGCGGTGTTGGCTGCATATGCCTCGGCCACAGGGTCCAAGTTGTTGTACTGGCCATAAGACCGCTTCTTCTGCAAAGCTGGCGCCGACGGAGCCGACTGGCTCGCAGGTCCAGACGAATGCGCGAGAACAGGCTGTGGGAGAAGCAGCTGGCTAAGCGAGGGGACGCGGTCGCTGTTGGGAGACGTGGTGTGGTTGTGGCTGCTGGGCGGCGGCGGTGGTGGTGCTTGACGCTTCTCGTCCTGGAAGGAGATCATCTCGCTGAGAGACGGCAAAGTCAGGGTCTTGGACTCGGCAGGAGAGATCATGCGGCTGTCCGACCGATGATCGTCGGCGGGCTCGATCGCCAGAGGCGCAGGCGTGTACTTGCTCGAGACGCGGCTGTGGTAGTCAAACGACTCGCGCTTGGGCGATGGTGCAGGAGCAGCCGCAGGCGGAGGTGCCGTCGTGTAGTGCTGAGACGTTGGGCGGTCCTGGTAGTACGAGTGGGAGGAGTTGGGAGGCGGGGACGCAGTGTTGACATGAGACGGCGACGGAGACGGGGCAGAGAAGGACGAGGTGGAGTGGTGTTGGGCGTGCTGAGGCGGTTGCTGCGGTTGTTGCGGCTGCGATGGCTGCGCGTACGAGTGCGTTGGTGTGGAGTAGGTCGTCGGCGATGGAGGAACCGATGAGGGCTGTGCAAAGGCGTTGGGCTGGTTGCCACCGAACCGCAGGTGGGCGCTGTTGGTCGTGTGCGGGCCACCAGAGCTGGCGCCGAAGCCTGGAGGCATTGACGGGCCGGACTGCGGTGACGGGGCAGCACTGTGGTGGTAGTCGGTCATAGATGGGCGGCGCGGGGCATGGTTGGCGTCGGGGACGAAAGGCGTGCGGCTAACGCTCTCGGTGCTCATGGAGCGGGCGCGGTAGTCGGCAACAACCTCGGGCGTTTGTGTGCGGTGGCGACGAACGTATTCCTCCTTGGCAAGAGCGTCGCCGCTGCTGCTGGCAACACCGGACGTAGACGACTTGCCCTCGCGGCGGCGCATGCGCACATCACGACGGATGCGGACGCGGCAGCCCTGCTCGGCGACAGTGCGTGACAGAGCAGTGCTCTCGGTGAGACCAGGGAACTTCTTGGCGCTGAAAACCATGAAGTCGTTGGACTTGACCTCCATGCGCCAGTCGAAGGACTCGGGCGTGTGGGCAGCACCATCTGGGTTCTCCTTGTCGAGATCGGCAAACTCCTTCGTCTGCTCGAACAGGTTGAAGGTGAGGCGGTAGCGGCCCTCATGGCGGACAGACAGATCGGGGAATAGGAAGTAGCCGGCCTCCTTCGGACGGTCGAGGTACGCCATGCCAGAGACAGGCATGCCGGTCAAAACAGGCGGGGTGGCGGCCGAGGGCGGTTGCAGACGGCCATGGGCAATGACGCGAGCGTGCTCGAGAGTGGCGAAGAGGAAGAAGTTGGCGTTGTAGGTGAAAGTGATGTCTTTGGCATGCTCCATGGAGGGGCCCTCGAAGATACGGAGTTCGACAACGGGAGGCGGGTCAACTGGGCGACGGTCGGCAGAAGCTGTGTGGTTGTTAGCGGTTTACATTCAGCATTCAAAATCCAAACCTTTGCGTTGCCCGTGGCTTTCGTCTAAACGCGACATTGTCGTCCTGCCGTGCATGCGTACTCACATTTAGGACCAGCACCGCAGGCGCGAGCACGCTCGGGCTGCTGAATGACCTCGAGATGGTACCAGAGGCGACGGCCACCACGGGTCGTGCGGTCAACAATGACCGCCTCCGGGTGGCCGGCAGCGATGGCCGGGGCGACCATTGTGGGAGGAATTATGCTGGGTTTGTGGAAGAGTAAATGCGGAATGTGTGTTCAATGAGCGCGTGTCTTGTTTACTTTCATTCGTGTGAGTAAAGTAATATCGTCGGATGTCGATGGCGATCGTTCGTGTGGACGCTTCTCGTTTCGATTGCTTCCACGTTGTTTCTCGCAATGTAAACAACAAAGCTCTACTTCGAATGTCTATAGAGAACCTATTGTCAATGTGCAAACCGTGAGACAACGGCCGGTTTGCCTCTTTTTTGTTGTTGTTGGCGTGAAAGGCAAAAACGATAGGAAAAAGAAAAGACAGAAAATAAGAGAGATCGAGGAAGAGGAGAGGAAAGAGAGCAAAAGGACGATGGGGGTAGGAGAGTTGAAGAAGGAGTTGGGGGCGTGTAGGTAAGGAAAGTGAGAGGGAGGACAGCCTGGGAGAGGGCAAGAGAGTGAAAGAGCGAAGGAGGCCAGCGCTTGCCTTTTCCTGGGAACGAGCCGTGGAGGGTAGGTGCTCCTTTCGTTTCTTGGTACGCTAGCGTTTCTATGAATGGAGTCCGGTCGCAGTCTCGCAGTGTCGGTCGATGGTTCGTTGGTCGCTAGTGTGGAAAGGGTGGGTGTGGATATGCTTTATGGCAGGGGGCGGGGCGTGATAGGGCCCCGGGGGCCAAAAAGGGGGCGTGAAAGGGAGAATTTCCTGAACAGGCACCTCGTAGGTGTGAACATATTAACACGGGGCGAGGCTCCTTCCACATACATCGTAATTACACGGCACTGTGAAGGCAGGGGAAGGTGCGTATCGTGAAATAGAAGGCGCGTCTTGACGTTCTGAATACTAGGAAAGAACGACGCAGATTCGCAGCAATGAGCTGGAAGAGATTCTTTGGTCTTGTATGGCTGGTGGAAGCCAGCCAAACAAAGAGGGAGCAGAGACAGATGAGCGGACTGGGGACGCGCGACCCCAGAACCAGATCCAGGCCTGTGGGCTGGACTGTTGCAACCACTGAACACTGGTTGTTGGGCGAGTTGTTATTGGAGGACATACGCCGACAGGAGCGGAGAGCCAGAGCGCAGTGACCAGGTGAGAAGCAAGACCAATGCCCGAAAAGAACGACAGCAGGGAAGGAGCCACCGCCTACTTCGTTCTCAGTGGAAGAGAAAGTAGGGGTGAGCTAAGGTGCGGGGGTGTGGGCTTTGCAGATGCAGGGGGTGTGGACAAAATCTGGCCTGTGTTAAACCTGTGCAGGACGGGCAATTGTAATGCAACAGAGGAAAAGGAAGGAGCCCGGTCATCGCCAGTCAGAGAGAACTATTGGCATCGCCTTCTACGATCATATTTAAACGAAAGAAAACAAAGACAAAGATACGAGCCGAAGACGCTGTAGCGCATGATGACGACCAGGCATAAAGGACGAGCCCAACAGACAACGGCGGCAACGGCGAGAGCGTAGGCGAGGGGGACAAGTCGCTACAAAATTGAAACGTTGCCAGAGGACAATGGGTAAGGACAGCTGTGACGTGCGGATGCGACCCGAACGTCCTGTTTTTGGGCACACAGAGCACACATATACCCAGGCGATATCTCGAGACTCAGGAGAACCGAAATGACGCTTTGTGAGAGTGCCCACACAACCAGAGCCCCCGAGGCTGAAGGGAAGCGAGCCCGTCCCAAATTTCAACATTTCAGTAACTTCGTAAATTCAGCAGGGAGCACCAAAGTGAAAGTGATCGTCGAATGAGGCCATAATAAGATACAAGGGACAAAAACAAAACACTAGGGTATGTGGGTGAGAAGGACCGGAGATATTGGAACAAAAAAAGATGGCTGAAAGAATCGAGCCAGGCGCAGAGAGGATGCTCGTAAAACGCCCCGTACAAAGAGAGATGCTCTAGCCAGTGCGAGACATGGGCCTTGCAGGTGACCAATACCGTGTGCCTCTTGCAGCAATTGCAACACACGCCAGTCTGTTTTGGGACTAGTGCTTGTCTTGCTTTGTGGCCCTGGACGGGTCCGCCGACATGTTGTTGGACAGCAGGTGCCAAGCGAAGGGAGCAGCGCATAACAAGTGGATCAAATGTGGGGCCCTCTGGGAGCAGTTGAACAGTGCGATGCTGCAGCGAGGAGAGGAACAAAGGCGACGAAACATGTTGATGGTCGGTTTGAGCAGCTTAGTGTAATCTTTGTCAGATGCATCCTGGAACGGTACCCGGTTGCTTGCACAGAGGCTGCATGCACGACGTACGGGGGCACGAAGCATGTCGTACTTTGCTTTGTATGACGAAAATCGAGCATTGAAATGCGAGGAGGCGGGCGTGAGAAACGTGAAATTACAGGTGAATTTACAATGCAATACTCCGTACAGGTAGACACACTCACCCGTCCAGACACGTCCAGCGAAATAAACAGCATTTGTGCGTGGTGGATGGGGCTGTTCTGATCGGGGACTTTTTCAATAAGATGCGGTCGAGATGCAATATGATCGCTCCTTCCCTCCTTTCAAAGCACATTTTCGCTTTACTTCATATTTCCTTTTAATTCAAAATGGGCCCGTGCCTTTTGACCTGGAATGTCCCAGTCCCAGAGCGACGGAGACCAACATACATTGCGGAAGAGGGTGAAAGGATCGTCTACTTGGCTTTTGTGCGTCCTGCGTGCGAGGATTGGAATGAACAAAGCGTCTGCAAACCCGACGCCGTGGCAAGCTGGTAGCACAAAACAATAGTCCATGTACGCGTATTATACGAAAGAAGAAAGAATGAAAAGAGGTGAAATGAAAAGAAATCCGAAATAGGAGAGGGGCGCCGAACCGAGATGAAGACATCCGCAAAAATTGTTCAGAGTAAGGCGTGTTTCTGTTTTGGGTTTGTGCAACTGTCAGAGCTGGCGAAGCGAGGGCCGAAAAAAGATCAGTGGGAAGCTTCGGAGTGCGAGGAGAGAAAAAAGAAAGAAAAGAAAAGAAACCATGTGAGCGGCCGGTCCTGGAATAAATGAGAACTGACAGAAAAGACGCCCAAAAACACGCGACGAGGATACATAAGCTTGAAAGCTGACGGCCTCTCCCAGGGAAACGAGCAGCCAGAAACAGCTCTGGGATCGACCAATAGGCCCCTCTCTTCTTACAACGGAGAATGTACAAATTCAGGCAAGAGCGCCCTCGCCGGGCTGGAGCAGTGACAAGGGGCCTGGACCTGGGGGCTCTCCGGTCTAAGCAGGCCTCGCCAAACCCCTTTTAGTTAGGCTGCGGGCAATCATTGGAGATGTTAATGGCTGCAGGGGAAGAAGGGGAGAAAATGGTCTCGATGGTGTTTGTTACGGGCGAGGTGGACCGAAAAGTTCTGCAATGCCGAGGAACCGTTGGCAGCCCGAAGAAGGCCGCGCACGGAGCATTGCATATTTTACGGTGCCGACGAATGGGAAGGGGGGAATGCCAGCGCCGTTGACAAGGACAATATGGAAATTAACGTCAGAGATGGGAGGGGGACGTTGCAACCGTTGCGTTCGTTTGGCTTGCGTGTTGTATGGAGGATGAGACGACCGTTGCGAGGCGGAGGGTAAGCAGGGGAAACGAAAGAACTACGACGTGCAACGGCGCTGGTCGAATTCGGACAAGACCACAAAGCTCGAACTGACATGACATATTGCGGAGTCTGTCGTCGACGCAACTTGTGTTTGGAAAAGCACCTTACCAGCATGAGGATCAAAAGTGTATTGCGATGTGGCGATGTTGGCCAGACCTGTTCATATGTCTGTTGGCGCTATATTTGTTACGAGCAGCTGTTTTCGTCGTAGTTTTTTTTATTTTATTTTGTTCAAGTTCCCCTATCCAAGGCAGTGGAATTTTGTCATTCAATCGTCGGGCTGTCAAAATCGCACTATGTATGTCGAATGTATGTCGTATTACGTGTATTATGTCTATGTTGCATTGTCTGTTGGCTGTTGTTTCTTAGAACCAGCAGGCCGTCGCTTTCTTGGAACTCAAAGGAGTTGGTGAAGACGAAAGAACAGACCCCGTCGATCAAGAGCAACGCCTTTTGCTTTTTTTTTTTTTTGCTTTTTTTCTGTCGCTCTATGTTCTTCCAGTCTTCTAGACAAAGCCACAAGCGAACGATGGAGGCTAAGCAGACACGCAATTCTTGTCACATTCTGTTATTCTGCAACGGTCCTAGATCCTTCCCGTGAACGACTGTCTTTTTCCCTCTCCTTCTTTGACCTGTCATTTTCATAAATTCCTCAACCCCCCACCCACCAAAAGATGCACGTCTGTGGCTCGGATGTGAAGCGAAAGTAGAAAGTACAGACTACGAAGTGAAAAGTGCTCAACATATCCACACGAGAGAGCCCATGGCTCAACCTTTCTGGAGACCCAAACAAGAAGGCCCCTCCCCCTCCACCCAGGCACTGCACAGAAACAAGACGACAGGCTTGCAGATAACCAGAAACAGGAGCGACCGGGCGACGTTTGGAAACAAGGAGGATGCACAAGATCGTCGTCAGAAATCCTGGTGAGAGCTGGAGTACCTGCGTCGCACGTCGTATGTTGTGTGCAGAAACGCTATCTTGTTTCTTGACTTGGAATTTTTCTCGGCTTTGGTCTACAACACCCTTCCCGCCAATACCACCCAACACGGGGTGAACTTCGTACGGAGTGAGACTTGGTGGCCTCAGTCTCAATGACACTCTGACATGCGAGACAACGACAAGCTTGGACACCTCGAGGCTATCGGCACAGTGCACTTTCGTCAAGTTGGGCCATGCTCCTTTTGGCATGTCCCCGGCCTCGCTGCTTTTCATTGGCCTATCTGAACATTCCCAAAAAGGCTCTCAGCTCTCGTCCCCTCGCTTGCAATCCGCTCCTCTCTTAACGGTGTCAGGGTGTCAATGTCAGTGGTGCGCCACTGTCATGCCATGCCATGTGTCGCAGCGAACCCCTTGCTTGCGGCCACACCGCTTCAAAGTATTTTCAACTGTATATCGAAGCGATTACGATGCTCTTCTGTTTGAGTCGCGT